CTGTAGGGTTCAAGCGCCAATCCAGTACCCAGCAGCTCTGCTTGTGTTTGGTCTTGCGTTGATTTGGGACCCAATCTGAAGCACGTTTGCCCCGTTGAGCTAAAACAATAAAACACAAGCGTCACTCTGGGACACTGAAATCAAACGCGCTCGACTTTTTGCCTTTATTTCTAAAGCATCTCGCGTCTGAAACGCATCTGAAGTCAGTCCTTCCGCACTCAATGAGACTGATTCCCCAGTAAGCGCGCACAGAATTGCCAGCTAACTTGTTAAGCCCTTCTGAAATTAATGGGACTGGCTCTCAAGAAAACGCGTTTGGCCTCAGCCAGTCCCTTGTTCTCCTGAGGTTATACATAACTGGTTTTGTAAAATAGGGACGGTTTTCTGCCATGCAAAGAGAGACAAATTATGCCACCAGTATAAAACCCCGATCTAGAACCACAACCCAAGTCGTAGTCCCACTAAAGGCATCCTCGGCCAAATTCATTTATTTGTAACTTTATTATTCAGGAAAGTGGAACTTTCCTCAGACCAAAATCTCTTAAGGATAGGAGCGGGGATGTATAAAAAAAAAAGTCACAATGAAAATCAAACCGCGTTGGTTGCAAATAAATTAGGCCCTAGGTCGGGGTGGCGAGGCAGCTTAAATTCGTTGCCTAACAGAGCAGTCCTAACCATATATATTTAGAAATAAGTCCTATTGAATTCTCACTTCTAAATGGGGATTTAGCCCCATGGACACTGCTTCTGAGTAAATAGGGTTGCGCTGTTAGCTGGACTTCGGAGGGAAAGATGCGCAGTTCCCGCCCCCGCCCCCGCCCCGACTTCTGCCTTAGGCACCCATTCAGCCTGCCATCCCATAAACCGCAGCAGGGGACTTGGTGGAGCAGTCAAGGAACTGCATAAAACCTCTGGCAAAACTCGGTGATGTAAAACACAAACGCTCCTTTCTTCTCCTGGATGGCATCCAAAAATCACCTCACTTGGGAGGGTGGGGGCGATTTTTTTTTTACTCTTTATCACTACCTACGTCCTCAGCCCGATTCTCGGGCTGCTCGTTTCGCAATCGCCGCGATTTGTCCTAAGCGGAGCAATGAAGCCAGAAATAGGAGCCTCGGCAGAAACAAAACATTTCTCAAGGGTTGAATGCAGGAGACATTGCAGTTGCAAGCCTAGCCCTCCCTTATTTAAGGGGATAAATCCCAGTGAACTCGGAGGGAACCTGACTAGCAACCTTCCTATGCATTTACTCAGAAGTAAATCCCTCGGCATTCCACGGGGCTTTCTCCCTGGTTAAATTTCCCTAGGGTTGCAGCCTTAATTCCGATTACAGTAAAGATGCATCGAGTTGGGCTGGTCTCCTACACAAGTTTACTCGGGAGTAAGGGAATGGGATTTGTCATCGCACCTGAGTCCACACAGCGGCCCCAGTCCAGAGACGAATTAACCTTTGATGCAGCAATTGACCGGACTTTCTTTCGAGTAAACAGGAACAGAATCGGGCTGCAACTTTAGCTGAATCGGGGCCGCCGGCTAATTGTGCAGTGTTGCAGGTGGTTGAAAAATAAACCCACAATTTATTACAGTTCTTGAATGATGAGCATATACACGGGGAACTTTAGATATTAAAACAAGTATACTGAGATGGTGAGAGCTTGATTTAATTATGTTAATGTCAAGTCGATCATCTTGCCCTGAAAATACCAGCAAGGAACTTTGAACCTTATTGGACCCGGGGAATGGGACGAATCATCCAGAGCAGTTTGCAGCCGAGCTACCGTAACGATTCGTCTGGAGGGGGCCGCGAAATGGCCCGCAAAAGGCGTTCGAATCGCAAGCCAAAGCGAGCGAAACGCTTCGATCCCGAAAGCTCTCTCGAATTTTGAATGAAAGCAAGAGGCGCCTTTTCAGACGGACGAAGCCTGGAGCAGGCGAACAAATGGCGCGATAACGGCCACCTCCTCCGTGAAAAAGCACTGGAGGTTTTGAAGAAGAGAAATCAGAGATTGCAGCCGGCTCCCCAAAGGGGATGCAGTGCGGGGGGGGGGCAAATCCATGGCTGGTACTGACAGCATGTGACACTTGGGTGTTTATACAGTGTGACAAATGTGTGAGTTATGGGGTGCGGGTTCTGTGTTTCTCTTTCCTGCCCCTCCATCAGTTTACCCAGCTGCCACTTTTTTTAAAAAAAAAGTTTGATTAACTAAATCACGACTGGGGGTGGGGGGGGGGAAGGAACCGCGATTCGTTGTCACATCAGCATAGACCTGCCACGACTTCAAGACCACTCATTCATCCCAAAAGGTGAAGAAAGCGGAGCGGGGTGGGGTTTGCAATCCGGGAGGCAAAAGGTTTTGGGTTTTTTTGACACATCCTCAGAGTGAAGTTTTGTCACCAGCTCAAGGAAGACCAAGTGTGGAGACTCCATGCACCAAGACACAACTCACACGCACACAAGTAGGGTAGGACCAGCTCAAATCCACGACTTAATTTCTTAAATTCCAAGGGAAGGTACCCAAGCACGTGTTGAAGCCTGCCATTCAAACCTACAAGACTTTGGAGATGCCGTGTCCTTAATTAAGGAGTCCCCTTCAATTAGCCCACGTTTAATCTTTGTTCCCAACACTAAGCGGGTCGAGGGACACTTACTTGCAAAGCAAGTCACACTAAGGTGTTAATGAAATTTATTTTAGGGACAATCAGTTTGAGAGCGGGGAGTCCGGGGCTGGAGTCGATTAAAGTCAAACACTTATTTGCCCAAACCTTGTACCTTTCACGTTAGAGTTCCTTCAGCAGTTTGCTAAAATGTCTAAAATAGAGTTGTTGTCTTGCATATTTTATTCGTGATTCATCTTTAAAGCATTTTGCCCTGCGCGCACGCATATTTCTTTGCCCTCCTGTTCGCAACTGTCCGTCCCTCTTCTCGTAAGAACAGCCCTGCAAACTTCTCCTGGTTCCTGTTTGTTGAAGAGTCCTGTGTAACTCGAAGGCTGGCTCTCTCGTGCTCCCACAAAAAAACCCCTCTCCTTGTCTCAGTACCCGTTTTGTAAGTTTTGCATCCCAAACCTAAATAAGTTTAACCGAATGCCGATGCCACCAGTTCAAAGTGGCAGTTATTTCGCAGCAAATGTGCTTAAAATACAGACGCTTTCAATGCGAAATTTTCTCATACCCAGTACAGAGGAAGAAGGGTTCACTACCTCAAAAGATTGCCTGGACAAGCCAGCAATATATATGAATGACCTGACTATGTTTATAAACACTGCATAAGCAACAAGCGCTGTCTTTCCAAGCTGTCACGGGAAAAGCCGATTCATAAAAGGGAGCTTTGGAGAACTCGTCAAAGGCTTGTCAAATGGCAGAGAAAGGAATCTCTTCGGGAAAGTTTGGTCAGGCAGCTGGCTGGAGGGAGCGCGGGAGCGGGGCGGGGCTGCCAGGGGGGTCCGGGCAGTCTTTGGGCCCCCTGCTCCTTCCCTCCTTAATCCGGATTCCGGCCTGGTGTGTGGAGAATCGGTCGAGGCTGTTCGCCAGCTCTTCCTTTGCCACTCGAGGGCACAGAGGAGCGACCCCAGGACCGTCGAAGGGCGTGAAAGGAAACTTACACATTGGAAGCCCAGGCAGCAGCGAATAGGTCGCACAGGCAGAAAAAGGGGTCGGTTAGAGAACCAAGGCCTTCTTTCCTCAGAAGCGTGTTATGGGAGTCTGTAAGGAGCACTGCGGGCGGGTGGGGAGTTCAGCCCGCGATGAGCGAAAGGGTTACGTGGAACAGTTGCGCATTTGTGCATCCTCACAAGCTAAGGGGAAAAAATGGCCTGCAAATTTGCATCAAGAACACTGTATCTAAAGAAAATTAAAATGCATCAAGATCTAATATTGCGGTCGGCAGATGTGAATGTTGGTGCGTGCCGTTGCATATTTGTGCATGCGGGTGTAAGAGATGACATTGCATATACCTCGTTCGACGCACTGGTTATAATGGGACGGCTCCCAGTTCGAGTTTATATCTCTGCGGCTGAAATCAGTGGAACTCAATACCGTAGAAGCACGATCCAATAACATATTTATTCGGAGCACATATGAATATTCCTATCAGCAGAAAACTCCGCTTGCCTAAGGTTTGTTTTGCTTGTGTAATGTACATATGGTATATTTTTACTTCTTTGTGTCACTTAAATGATGATCCGTTGTCGACATGCTCTCGGCTGTATTGGTTCATTAACTGGGAGCGGGATAGGGGAAACAGAGGCGCGACAAATAAAACGTATTAAGACCAAGGTTTTTTTTGGGGGGGGGGGGTTCAGTTTCATGGAATCCTTAGTCATGCCTAACAAAAAAGGGATTTTATTTTTTATTTTTTAGAAAACCTACAGTGGGAGGCATGCGAGTGAAGCCCTCAAAACAATGATTTAACTTTCAAAAACTCCTCAGGAAAAACGAAGCACTTTGTGCCCTCACCATTTTGTTGTTCTTCAGCAAAGATGACGAAGAGTTTTGTGAAACCCGAAAGCTGGCTCCCTAATTTTAAGTTGGCCTCTGTCCTGACAAAAGTACTCGGTCGCTGTTGCTTGTTGCAAACAGTATTGTCTGCAGAAATAATATTTGTGTGCGTGTGTTAGGATTTATGTGTGTGTGTTGTGCGCGCAGGGCCGGTTGATGAGCGTAGAGAAAATGTGTTGGTGTGTGTTTTTTTCATTCCGGAGCGAGGAGAGTGCAACTTGATCCGCATACCTACTCCTGTGTGCGAGGGAAGGCTTGCCCTCGGGCCGCGCGGAGGAGCTATATACGCGCGAGGGAGGAGAGGGCAGGGCGACGTGCGCGTGTGTGGCCAGTCCCAGAACTATCATTCCCCAAGTTGCTGTTCCTGCCGCCGCCGCGGCTTCTGCTGAAGCTACGAGCCCAGCCCGCCCCTTCGGAGCTCGGAGGCGTCTTCTCATTGGCTACGCCACCGGGGCGGGGCCTCCCAGTCTCGAAAGAAAAAGGGAGGGGGAAGGGAAAGAGGGGAGGAAAGAGGAGGGGAGGGAAGAAGCCCTGCGAGTGCGTAAAAAAGTCCTCGCCTTGGTGACGGATGCTCAAAAGTTCAGGAGTTTTTCCAAATGCTTCTCCGAGCAGCGCGCGGCTGAAAAGAGAACTGTAGGAGAAACGGAGGCAGGAGGCCGCGCTGAACAACCGCAGACCGCTTGGGGAAGGTGGTTTTTTGGGGTCTTTTTTCATACTTGAGTCCAAGAGAGAGAGAGAGAAAATATCCGGTCTCTCGCGCCCCTCCAACCAACGCACGCTGCTTCTTCCTTTTGGTTTCCTTCGCCTGCCTCGGTCTTTATTCCTTTTTTAAAGGAAGAAATCTCAACCTGTTGTCCACCTCCGTGGAAGAAGAAGAAGGGGGAAGGAAAGGCGCTCGGGAAATAAGGTTTTGTGCGCTCAGCTTTACGCGAGGGAGCGCGCGCGATTCCAGTTTCGCCCTTGATGGAAGTAACTGGCTTTTCCTCTCGGCGGCGGCCGCTTCCGTGGAGGGTCGGCGCCTTGTTTTAAGAAGAACAAGAAGGAGTAGCAGCAGCAGGAAGAAAAGGAGACTTATTTCCCCTCCCCACGACCATTATCAACCTCCCCCCTCTCCTTCGCCCGGGGTCCTTTCCATTTATTTAATTTTTTGGCCCGCTTGAGCGGGGGAGGGGAAAGCAGCAAACTTTAACGGGACCCCGAAGTTCTCGTCCGCTTGCTTGCTTGCTTGCTCCCTTTTCGGGGGAGGAAGCGGGGCGGAAAGGAAAGATCCTGGTCGCCTCTTCTGGTTTATACTTTTTTGGCTCTGGAGCTGCGGAGGGGTGGAGGGGGGAAAGCAAAGGCGGAGGCGGCGGAGGAGGAGGAGGCGGCGGAGGAGGAGGCGGAGGAGGCCAGTCTGCTGCTGCTGCTGTTGCTGAAGCTGCTGCCGCTTGGTCTGGCTGGCTGGCTGGCAGGGAGGCCATGCAGGCTCGCTACTCGGTCTCCAGCCCCAACTCGCTGGGAGTGGTGCCATACCTGGGCGGCGAGCAGAGCTACTACCGCGCGGCGGCCGGAGGCGGCTACGCGGCCATGCCGGCCCCGATGAGCATGTACTCTCCGCACCCGGCGGCCCACGAGCAGTACCCGGGCGCCGGCGGAGGAGGAGGAGGCGGAGGTGGTGGTGGAGGCGGCATGGGCAGGCCGTACGGCCCTTACCCGCCTCCGCCGCAGCCCAAGGACTTGGTGAAGCCTCCGTACAGCTACATCGCTCTCATCACCATGGCTATCCAGAACGCGCCGGATAAGAAGATCACGCTGAACGGCATCTACCAGTTCATCATGGAGCGCTTCCCCTTCTACCGGGACAACAAGCAAGGCTGGCAGAACTCCATCCGCCACAACCTGTCGCTCAACGAGTGCTTCGTCAAGGTGCCCCGAGACGACAAGAAGCCCGGCAAGGGGAGCTACTGGACCCTGGACCCGGACTCGTACAACATGTTCGAGAACGGCTCGTTCCTGCGCCGACGGAGGCGCTTCAAGAAGAAAGACGCCGTCAAGGACAAGGAGGAGAAGGAGCGCCTCCATAGCAAGGAGCAGACGCAGCAGCAGCAGACGTCGACTCGACAGCAACACCAAGACGGAGGTGGGCAGCAGCAGCAGCAGCAACAGCAGGCGCCTCCGGTGAGGCTACAGGACATCAAGACGGAGAACGGCTCGACGTCGCCCCCTCGAGCGCTGTCCCCGCTGGGAGGCGCGCCCGTGGCCAAGATCGAGAGCCCCGGGAGCTCCAGCGCCAGCAGCCTCTCCAGCGGAGCGGGGAGCCCGCACGGCGGCGGCGGCGGCGGCGGCAGAGCGCTGGGCTTGGACCCCCCGACGGCCGCCGCCGAAGCGCCTCCGAGCCAGCATCCGCACGCCCACCACCCGCACCACCACTCTCACCCGCACGCCCATCATCACCATCACCACCACCCGCATCTCCACCACCCGCCGCCGTCCCATCACCACCCCGGAGGGCCCCCCGGGGGGGCGGGCGCCGGCGGCTTCAGCGTGGACAACATCATCATGACCTCCCTGCGCGCTTCCCCCGGGCAGGGCGCCGGGGAGCTCTTGGCTTTGCCCTCCACGGCCGGCACCGCAGCCCCGCCGTCGTCGTCCTCGTCCAGCCCCTCGAGCGCCTCGACGTCGCGGACCTCGGCGCTGCCGCCGCCTTCGCTGGCGCTCAGCAGCTGCTATTCGCCGGCTGCGGCTGCGCAGAGCGCGCTCTACAGCGCCCCCTGCAGCCAGGGCGTCAACACGACGGGCAGCAGTGCCATCACGCAAGCCGGCGGCGGCGGCGCCAATAGTTATCACTGCAACTTGCAGGCCATGAGCCTCTACGCGGCCGCTGCTGCCGCGGCTGCCGCAGCTGCCGGGGGCGGCGGAGAAAGAGGCGGCGGAGGCCACCTGAGCGGCAGCCCGGTGGAGCAGGACCCCCTTCCCGAGTACAGCCTGGCGGCCAGCAGCAGCAGCAGCGCCTCTTCCCTCAGCCTGAGCCCTCAGGAGGGGCACCCGCAAGGCGGCGGCGGCCGCCTGGCTTCGTGGTACCTCAACCAGGCCACGGCGGTGGGCGAGCTCGCCCATTTGGCGCCCGCCTCAGCCGCGGCGGCGGCGGCTGCTGCCGCCGCAGCGGCTGCCGCCGCCGCCGCCTCGTCGTCCCCGTCGCCGTCGCCGTCGGGCTACCCGGTGCAGCAGCAGAACTTCCACGCCGTGAGGGAGATGTTCGAGTCGTCGCAGCGCCTGGGCCTGAGCAACTCGCCCGTCAACGGCAACGCGGCGGCGGCGGCCGCCAGCAGCTGCCAAATGGCGTTCCCAGGCAGCCAGCCGCTCTACCGGCCCTCGGGCGCCTTCGTCTACGACTGCAGCAAGTTCTGACCGAGGAGAGCGGCGAGGGGAGAAGCGGGCCCTCAGCCGCCGCCGCCGCTGCGCTCTGAGGGGACGCTGGAGAAGCCGTGTTTCCACTATAAACACCAACACACAAACACGACGCTCGGCGCCCCCGAAGCCCGCGCGAAACCTCCACAGACTCTTACCCAAAGACAGCCTTTTTATTAACTAAGGACATGGTTTGTTAAAGGACAGTGTTACTCCAAATAACACGTAAGTTTGTGCTTTTCTTCCTTGCCTTAAAAACAACCCTCCCCACACCCAGAAAGAGAGGGTGCCTTCTTCCCTCGCCTCCCTCTCCGAGAGGCTCTGCCGGCCGCGTTGTGTGGCTCCCACCCTGCGCGCCCTTTTGCGCCAGCCTTATTGGCTGCTGGTCCGGCGCTTGGTTGGGCGCCGGCGACTGAGCGCGCGGGAAATGCCAGCCAACCAGCGGCGAGAGTCTCGCGGGGATAAGTCCAGCGGCTCCATTGAATTCCACGGGGTGGTGTGGATCGCAGCCCTCAATGAAGGCGCAATCCGGGTTCGCTCAAGCCCATGCGAGTTTCGCCCCTGGTTTGAAAAGCGACGCCGCCTTAGAAAGCCCCTTCCTTTCCTCTCCCCTGCAAGGACTCCTTTATACGCAAGGATTTGTTTCGAAAATGTAAATGGATGCATAGTAATTTATTTTTAAATCTGTAGTTGGAACTTTTGGACCAAACACCAGAAAGTGTTCTTTTTACCCCACCCCACCCAATGCTTTCAGAAAGGTTGACTTTAAAATAACGTTAAACATTGATTTTTGTTTTGTTTTGTTTTCATTTATATATATAAATGGGAAGCTGTATTAATCTTATTTTATCGTTTATCATTTTTTCCTTTTTTTGTTGGAGATACCCTGAAGTTACTGCCTTGCTTGTTTATTAATAAATTACCATTCAGTTGGACTGAGACCATATACGTCTGGATATATTAACCCCACTTTTTAAAGGAAAAAATTAAAAATCCTACAGCTGAAATGTTGATGGTAGAATTACTTTCTTCCAGTGTGGGCTAAGTGAAAAATACATTTTTAAAAAGTTTCTTGGGTAACTCGCTCCCATAAAGCGGTTAAACCAAAAACAACAGAATTTAATCTTCTGGTTAGTCCTAAACTTGTAAATAAATATCATTTATGTCCATCGATTTTTAAAAATCTGTGTTGGGTGTGTGGACTTGGATGCGGCTGGAATCGACTTAAAAACAAATGCTGATTCCAGTGGCTGTTGCTGAGGCTGCTGCTGCTGCTATTTATGAGTTCTGACTATTATGGTTATTAATCTTAGCGAATAGGTGGGAAATGTAAGCCACCAAGCCATCACTGTTGCGAGGCAGCAGATGCAGAGGGCTTGAGCTACTTGACAAATATTGGAATATATCCGCGGAAGGCCCGTGGCCGTAATCTGTCCCATATCAAGAGGAAGGCGTTAAAGAAGTCGCAGGAGGTCCTGATCTTCATTTGCAAATTAATGCGTCCTTTTATAAAAAAAAGTGACATTTATGCATGTGCAGGTTTCTGAATTTTCTAAATATAGGCAGCTATATTTTATAGAATAGTAATAAGATCCTTAAAACCCTTTCTTCCAATGCGAACTAATGGGGGGGGGGAGCTGCTCAGTTCCCTCCCCCGAACATGTCTCTTGGGCAACTCGTTCCACAAACCATGGCGTCCTGGATTTGTTTCCCCTTCCCTCATTATTCTAGACAGGTCGCTAGTTCTTAAATATTTTTTGCTGCTTTCCCAGGGAGCGATTCCATATACACCAAGAACTGAGAAGGAAAACTGGTCTCCCTCATTGTTACCTCATTTTCCCTCTCTCTCTTACGCACACAAACACACTTTAAGCAGAAGAAACTCCCTCTGCGGATGGCTGCAAATAGCAACGGGTGATGTTTTGGTCAAATGTAGAAACTCGCCTTCAGGTCATCTCTCAATGAGGTTTGCAAGGAATGGAGGAAACACCTTTGCCCACTTGTGAATACCCCAACAAAATGCAATTTAGCCTTTTATCTGCGAGGGATCGGCCGCGCTGTCAGAGGCGAGGCGAGGCTGCCTTTCTGGGGAGCCTCCGGTGAGCATTTTTCAAGAGAATGCAGCTCCTATCAGGCGCTCTTATCGGAGGCAACACTTGGCAGTAATTGCTCCCGGGTTGTTAAAGGCCGCAAACAGTAAATAAATCCGGGCTAATTTAATTAAAACCTGAGTAGGCGCCTTCTCATCTTAGTCGTGCTTCCAGAGTAGCAAGCAAGCAAGAGCTCAGAAACTTGGGGACGGATTTTCCTCGCTTTTTAGTGCATTTCCCTATCGGAATTAATCTCACGCTATTGCACGCTTGTGATCTTTTTTTGTTTGTGTGTTTGTTTGTGAACTGGGCATTTGCTTCCTTTTTCAAAGCGCTTCGAATTGTGAGACGTAGACCCGGATTGAGGGTGACGCTGTGCGGAATTATCCTATGTATGTGGCTTGTTTGAAAGTAGGAGTCCTACTGAGCGCAATGGCATTTACTCTCAAGAAAGCGTTTACAACCTCGGAATTGCACCCTGGGAAGGATTCTCCCCTCCTTTATTTGCGAAGAGCACTTTCGAAATGCGGCAAAATACTTTAATTATTAGTAGGTCTGCTGCTAGTCTATATAGCTTGGACTTGAATTTAAACCACAGTCCGATCTGCAATTCAGTTAACCTAAAGTTATTAAATATGTGAGGACTCCGGAGTAAAGCAGTTAAAATTAGCAGGCCTACCTAGAATATGAAATCGGCCTAACCTCAAAATACTTGATTTTAACCGTGTTAGGGATGGAGTTGTGACTCTTTTTAAGGCACCTACTTGCTGCATTCCATTGAACTCAATGGTCCTGAGTGAGCCTGCTGAAGTTTGCTTTGGCGCACAGCTTGCGATATGGCCTTAACTGATCTGGCCTTAGCACGACTAGCGATTCCCGATTCAAAGAGAGCTCCAGGAAAGTAGCAGGATCGCTTTCGATTTGATTTTTTTATATTTCGGAATAGATTCGTATAGATGAGCCTTTGTACGCTTTGAGCTTAACACATCCAGTTCTATCTAGCAAACCAGAGCATGTGGCTAGTTGAAGTTGGCTCTCCGAAAGCGAAACGAACCATGGAAACGTTTTGAAAGCCCCATTCAATCCAGTGGGAGAGAATCGGCCTGGCTTCACTCTCCCACTGAAATCAAACTGCAGCGCTCATGGACATTTATAATTTTGGCTGACTCTCGCGCGCTCTTTGTATTTTGTACATATAAGGAGCCAGGGAGAAAGGAAGGGAATAATCGGAGGTGGGCATCCTCGTGTGTTGTCACATCCCTTCAGTTTATTAGCTGTGTCTTTTCAGAGATGGGGTGGGAAAACCAGGTTGAGGAACCTCAGAGGTGGTCCCACCACGTTCAACTGAGGCGTCGGTGTGCAAGCCATCAGTGGGAGACACACTCTTGGTTTCAGTGAGCTCATAAACCGGGAATTTACGAACTGTGCTTATGGCGGGCTTATTCCTTAGGTCCTTTCTTTCCAACCACCCCCCTCTCCCCACCCCAATGTCCTTTGTGAGAGAAGACAGAGTGGCGGGGAGGAGGAGAGTCTTTCTTCGGATGATGTTTGTTTGCTGATCGCCTCGATTTCCACTGGCGAAAGCTACTTCCTGCCTTCCCAGTAGTCCACAGCCAGATGGGATCAGAGGACCCCATTTGCAGGAGCAGAGGCCACGACAAAATACATAGATTTGGGAGCAAACGACGTAGGAAGAAAAACTGGGTTTCAGTGCGTGCCACAAAGCCAGCCAGCCGATTAAGACACCCACCCACCCCCTTTTTAAGGCGGAGAGTCGACATCCTACGACCACCTACTCCGAAGCGAATCTCCCTAAAATCGGTGAGACTTACTCTCACGTAAAATGGTTGGGCTGCGGTCCGGGTGAAGTGTGGCCAAGACTAAGTCTTTTAGTCCCTTCCCCCTTTTATTTCTTAAGAAACACGCAGACCCCTTTCCAGGGAAATGAGAGCGAGGCATCTTTGATCCCAACTAGGCATAGCTGTCAACTTTTCCCTTTTCTTGCGAGGAATCCTATTCGGAATAAGGGAATTTCCCTTAAAAAGGGGAAAAGTTGACAGCTATGCATGGAATCAGCATGGCCCATAACATTTACTTGGGGTGGTGAAGACCCCTTTAAAGACAGTATAGTCTACTCACAGGTAAAAATGTATAAAGTGGGGCGGAGGAAGTTGCGTTGCCGCAATATCTGAACAAAGTTTCCAGGAATGAGAAGCAAAGAGCCTTTTGAACCCTTGCGACTAAGTCTTAAACCCCTGGGGCTTGTAGGCGTCACTCTTCGGTTGCTTTAAGAGCTGGCTAGTTTGCCCTCAGATAACTTTTTCTCTTTTAAAAAAGGAATCTAGATGGAAGTCTGTCCACGTTGATGTGAACAGAAGTTGTTCCCCGTAAGGATCAGCCCTCTAAAGCTATATCCACCAGACTGGGAAATTGTGGTCTCTTTCTTCGTCCTTTCTATGTGCATTAGGGTGATAGTATCCAGCGGCTACAGCTCCCAGGGAGTTGACAGGAGATGACATGAGGTCAGGATCCGGATTGCAGTCTGACCCAACCAGCGCGCAGGGAAGCCTTTCTTTAGACAAAAGAGGCCACGCAGTTGCGCTCTTGTTTCACCACTCGCCTGCTCCCAAGCTGTTCGTTACTCGCTGTTTACTCCTCGGTTGCCACCTTTTGTTTTGTTTTGTTTTGAAGGCACACGTGTGAGGAGGAGGAGGAGGAGGAGGAGGGAAACCCGCCAGCTACAGGTGGATCGGCAGACGGGCCCTGTCCCTCCCCCGGCACTCCCTCCCGGACCCCCAAGCCAGGGAACAGCAGAGAGATCGATGCTTTCGGAAAGGGAGACGAGGAGGGGTTTCTAGAAACCTGCCTCGCGTGTTGGGCGTCCAGGCTCTCCTAAGAAGGAGGCCTTGGAAGAGATAGACGTAGGCGAGGAAAGGATGGAGGCAGCAGGAAGGTCAGGGAATTGCTCGCCTTCATATACTCAGGCCAAGCAACTGAGCCTGGCGCGCAGGTGAGCCTGGCTCAGGCTGGAGCCCCTCTCTTGCTCCAGAGGAGTACCACCGAGGGACTTGGGCTTGCTGATGGCTGCCCATGAATAGAGCCTTTGTGCTGGCGTCTCCTTGACGCAGTCCAGGCCTCCCTACCTCCACTCCTCACCCTGCTGGCCTGCACGTGGTCCCGGGAGAATGAAACGCGGCCGGCCGCCCCCCGAATTTTTACGCACCAAATGGCGGCGAGGGGGAGCTCGGAGGCCCGTAGCTAGACAGTGAATCACGGTAAATTGGGACCGGCTCCAGCAGGCTGTGGGGGAGCGAAGGGAGCTGCCGCTACTCCAGCTTCTAGGCCTCTCCCACTGCCTGGCCTGATGGGGCTGGAAGATACCGAACTGTTCTCTTGATAGTATTTACTCCTCCTCGCCCTCTAGCCGAGCAGCGTGGGGGGTGGGGAGAGAGAGAGAGAGATCAAGCGATCCGCAGCCCTCTGAACACCCGAAGGCCTGCATCTCAACCGGTTGTGAATCAGGCCTTAGATGCTGTCGTCCCGCGCTGCAAAATGGAGTGGGTTGTGTATCGAAGAGAAAAGCGTGCGAGGTACAGCGCATAATTCAGGATGCTTGTCAAAGGCTGCGACGCACGCAAAGGAGGTTTGCTTGGATGCGAGCGCCTTTGACGCCCGTGGGGCTTGGTTCCAAGTAGATGCGTGACAACAACTTTCGGGGTAGAAGAGAAATCATTGTGCTGATCTTCCTGGCCTGGGATGTTATGTCTATCTAGGATCTAGAGATAATGGTAGATAATTTTAAACTGAGTGTAAACAGTTCATTTAACTTTTTGTAGAGGCTTATTTTATGTCAAAGGAAACTGGTCAGAGAAGGGATGTGCGTGGGTACAGCGTGGGAGTTGCCCCAGTTTCACTGCACCCCAATCACCATCCACATAAGCCAAAGGTTCCTGACACGAATGTAATTTAGCGCCTTAAAAAAAACAAGAAAAAAAACGAAGGCAAATCCTACCGATTAACTAGATTGCGTATAGAGCTGCGCAAACGGCAACGTCAGTTCAGACGACACTGGGTATGGAAAGTTTGAACGTCTAACTTCTGAACCGCGGGCTACGATCCATCCTCCTGCTTATGCAAAAGCTTCAGCTGTACAGAAATTGGTGACGCAGGATGCTTGCATAATCTCCCCGCTCTTTGAATTAATGGGCGGTGGGGGTGGTCCCCTCTGAAGAAAAGAAATCGATCATGTTCAGGTTTTATTCATGTCGACAATGTTTGGAGTTATTCCGTATGAGGAATCCGAATCTGATTTAGGGTCCAGTCCTAATGCACGTTTACCTGGGAGTAAGCTCCACTGAACTCAGTGGAACATATTTCCGGGTAAACATACCTAGATTTGAGATGTACATCCGATTTTAAATCTGTTGAATTGAGATTGAAATTAGATCTTTTATTTATGCTGACTTTGGCCATCTTAAATCCAGGCGCTTCTTCCCCATTGTGATTTGCAACTGGGGAAACTCTGCAACTGTAAATGTTTTAGTCCTTTGTGATCTGTCTCCTAAGTCCAAATGTTGACTGAATAGAAAACTTGTGCCTCTGCCAAATGAAGGCTGCAATCCTAAACCCGCTTACTTAGAAGCAAGCCCCACCGAAGTCAGCTGAACTCTATGACCTACTAAATTGTCTAGGTCCTAAAATAGGTAAAACTTTTGTAAAATTAGTTTTGTTCACAAAAGTCTAAGGAGCTCAATATTTTGCTCGGAATGCTGTTTACTTACAGATACTTTGAAATACTGTATATGTTTTATTAATACAAAAAGACGTTCCTGGCTTTTCTATCCAGGAAAAAAAAATATTTTTAGATTTCCTCATGAGAAGCCTGATAACATCTCCCCCCTCCAGTGCTTGAATTCACAGGCTTCCTATGTTGAAAGAGCGCTGGGGCTTTCCATCGGGTTCCTTCCTCTGGTCATGTTAACTCTCACCAAAAAGCGCCTCTTCCCCTCCTCTCCCGGGCCTGTGGGATTTAATATAATCTTTTATCAGGCGCTGCAAGAGAAATATCGATACTGCCAGCGATGCATCCTTATACGGGGTCACGTTCAGCTGAAATTTGGCTCGATTAGAATTATTACATGGCAAATTGTCAAAATAACATTTATCAGGTGGACACGAACCGCAATAGATACAGTTTAGTTACCTGGTTAGCTAGCATTCATTGCACAGCTGTGGGCCACACACAGAGTGCATCTGCTCTGTGCATCTATAATATTATATAAAATATTTAAAGTATGTTGATAGTCTCCTAGCCCCCTTTAACTCGGCAGTAATGTTTTATCCAGCCCATTTGTCTCAACTTTTGAAATAGGTACCAAAGCTCTCTTGTTTCTCCCTGAAGCACTGATCAGTGCCAATCTCAAACACGCACCCACCCCACCCCTCCTCTCTTTTAAAACCCTACTGTGGGGCTTTGTCGTTGTTGCTCTTTTTCTTATTTCTTTCTCTCTCCCACCCCCAATAAATCCAACTATTTGTGTGGGGTTTTGTTACATCACTTTCCATATTTGAGGAAGTTTTTCCGATTATTTTGGGGGGTTACTCAGAGATCTTCCTCCAAGCCTGCTATACAGTCTTCTTCTTCCTCTCCAGACTTTTGCTAAAGATGATCAGGTGCCGGTCCTACTGCTTATTGGGAATTAAGCCCACCCCCTGCACCCCTCAGTTGAATGGGCCAGGCTCCCAATGAAGTGTGGGGAGGATTTCAGCCCGAGATGTAAAGAGGACGGTTTGGGACAAAGCCCACGCCTGGGTTGATTTTGCACCAGGCCCATTGGAAACGACGATGGATCTCACCTCCCTCCCACCTTCTCTCCCCCTAGGCTGGAAGTGTCGTCCTATCCCGAAAATCAGGCCCAGCCGAAAAGGGAATCCGATTTAATCAGAGCAGAGGACCGAAGGGGAGGCGGGGAGCAAGCGAAAGGATGTCCACCATCCGTGTCCTTCCAGAGGAGCAGCCTAATGGGCGATTGTGTTTTATTTTAATTAACCGGCGTCTCATTTAACGAAACAATCGCCAAATGCCTCCAGTGGGAGGAAGAGGCGTTAAGTTCACCGAGAAGGAAACCATGTGTAGGGAGATCCGCCGTGCGCTTGAAATAGCCCGGCTTCTGCAGTAACCAGGAGCTAGCGGGGCCTGCCTCGCAAGCCGTCCGGAGGGTCTTTCTTACAGGAGGCACAAACGCCCCAGCAAGAGAAGAAGGTGGAGGAGAGAAAGAGCAGGCTCGCATTTTTTTACAGCCCTGGTACCTGGGAGTGGTAAGGAGAGGAAAAGGGGTTGTCTGGGAATGGCTCATTAGGGATGACACATGTATGAGGAGATCAACACCCGGCACTCTCCGCCGGCCCCCATCCAATACATTCTTAACCCAGCGCAAGTCTAAAGGATGTAAGCTTGCTTAGGATCGCATCCTCAGAAGTGATTGGGCAGAAACTCCCGTTAAGAGTCTGGCATGCCGAACCAGTGAAGGAAAAGCGCCCTGCGCTCCAGCCTTTTCACAAAAGCTTGGTGGGAACGACCGTGCTCGTTCCTCTACCGATCCGGGATAGAAGACCACCTCCACAAACTAGCCCATTACAAATCGCTTGTACTTATATGCCCCTGGCGTTGTTTGGTTGCTGTGTCTCTCCCCCTCCCCCCCCGGCTTTTATTTTTGTTTTGCTTTCCGAATGCCTCTCCAAGCCAAGTAGTTAATCCGAAAAGAAAGCAGAAACCAAAACCCGAAGGTAGGTGGTCCGCTTCATCACATTACAGCCCGCACTAGCCCTAAACAAAAACCCCCAAACTTATATGGATCCCGCCGACAAGATCCGCGAGTCCCTTGCCACATCCATAGAGCAGGTCGGGCGAGGCAGGCGTCGGAGGCGAGGCCTGCTATGCAGGAGGGGCCGTCGCAGCAGGGCCCGGAGCTCTGAAAAACCGTGTCCTCGAAAAGCAACAGTGAGCTGGAGATCACACTCTATACTTGCTTTGGCTTTTAAATCAAAGCGGTGGTCGTCGTAGTTAAATCACCTCGGAATTCTTCAGCGCTTTTCTTACAAAGAAAGAAACACCTAGCGGCTCTCAAGGGCGGGGGGCGGCAGACGCCTATTTGGCACCGAAATCGAATCCCATTTGGAGACGGCCGGTCACTCCCGCGGAGTTTTGGCCGCCTTGTAGGGGAATTCGGGGCAGAAGCGGATGCCTGGGCCAGGGTCTTTGTTCTGCAGCTTTTCCAGACATTTTCTGACACACACCTCCTCTCTCTTTTTCTCTCTTGGGTTACTTAAAGAAGACTATCTGTCCGCCCCACAACCTGCGCCCCACCGTTGGTCGTTTTATTTTCGTTTGTTTTCTTGGCTGCTGCTGCTCCCCGCCTTCTCCGCTCTCTTTTTCTTCCCGTGACCGACTTCCAATTTAGTAGCATATTGAGCATATTATATATGGGGCGGGGGGCGCGCGGAGGCCGCTGTAATTCCAACCCGAATGTGTATATATATATATATATGAGGAGAGAGGGAGAGAGCCTGAGAACGGGCCGCGCTTGCCCAGGCGACCTCCAAACCAGATCGGCCGGAGCCCCCAAACCCGAGACTCCCGAGCGCCTTAATCGCTTTGTTGACAGAAGCCTCCGTTTCCTCCGAAGTCGCTCCCGAAGGCGCGCACTGGGAAGCAAATTCCGTGTGCATTTCAGCGGAACTTGAACGCGTTCCAAGAGAGCCTTTTTGGGGGGTGGGTCGGGGGGAGGAGAGATGGAAATAAAAAGGGGGCACACGGTGGCGCGCGCACAGCACAAACCACCTTCTGAAATCAATGTGACTTTGTTCCACCCCGTGCGTTTTCGGATCGATTTATTAGGGCAGGAACTGGACTCGCCGGGCCACTGGGGTGTGTGGACTGGCGGGGGTGCTGCTCTGTCTTCGCTAACAGTTTGGCCTTTGATTTAAAACCAGGGACCCGCTTGATCCGGTGCCAGCAAGGAAAGACGCAGAAGCCTAGAGCGCCCCTGGATTGGCTGTGGGTTCAGGGACAAGGCATGCTTCTTTTGTGTGTGGAGGGGGTCCCTCAAACTGTCTAGGAGCTTTATCCTCCTGCCCCTGCCCCCCACAAACCAGCCTTCGATTTACCTATCAAGTATTTCACCTTATTACAGAGAATAGATTAGGGAGGTAGGGAAACCGTTCTGAATTAAAAACCAAACCAAACCAGTAGCTTTATTCCCTGCATATTGGAGACTATTTTGCTTTTGCTGCTGTTGTTTCTACAAAGTTTCTGCTGCCGTGGATGGGAGTGCGCCTTGGCAGGAAAGACAGAAAAACGGAGGCAGATCAGCCAGGGTTTTCTGACCGCCGGTGGGTCTTTCGATGAGAATGGAGGGTCCAGCGCTCCTTTTCCTTCCTTTCTTTCCCCTAAATAAACAGATCTGAGTCGACCTGGGTGGGCAGAAGGGAACAATTTGTGAGCCAAGGAGCGAGCCTTACCTGCAGGAGACTTTCACCTGACCTCTTGCTGGAGAGGTTGGGGGTAAGCGGGTGGGGGTGAGCGGGTGGGCGGAGAATTCAGACTCCATATATTACAAGCCCGAGGAAAATCCAGCTCAATTTCGGTCGACCTTTTTTTTCTTTTCCTCATATAGAGAAAATTCTCCCTCTTCTCGCCCCCCTCTGCCGCCCTGCCCCCATCACCCCTGGGAGAAGGCAGGAAAACCAACACATTTGGAGCTATTAACTCTTCAGAGAGCTGAGAGGCGAACTGGATGCCTCTTGCCTGCCGCTCTCAGAACAGTGCCTGCCCTTAAAACAAGCAAGAATCAGCGTGGATCAGAAGCGCAAAGTATGCCATGATCACTAGGCAAGGAGACCTTTTAATGAATTTCTACTTTTAAAATTATTTGCGCGTCAGAAAATGCCCAAGGAAGAGACCCCTAAAATCACCGGGAGCAAGCAAGCGCCATTTCAATTTAGGAGATGCCAGAGTGCTTATTTTATTGGATAAAAATGCTTTCAGAGCGGTGCTTTGATAAAGCATAGAATGCAATGCGATAATTATTAAAAAGCGATGCTCAATGTATCAATGCCCGCTCGTCAAGGAAAGACCCCCTTTCTAAATGTTCTTTAAAGCTACGGTCTTAAACACACTTTCTAGACGATAGATCTTGACTTTTTTATATATAAAAAAAGTCAAGAAAAAGGCGCGCTACTGTTTCTGTTGCTTGCCCCGAAGTGGGCTCTAATTTGAGGGGCTCGGCGTAGCTCTCATGCCAAATGTCAATTTAGGAGGGAGCGAGCATTAAGAAAAGGGCGGCGGAGAGGGCAGGACGAGACGGAAAGAGGGAACAACCGTCGGGCAGAAGCAGCTCTGAGAAAGAACTGCATACTCTTTCTGTGGGATTATTAAGCCGCGAAAACGTGCAAGGTCTAAACGCGCTCTCTCTCTCATTTAGAAGGTTTAAAAACCCATTTCTTAGAAGGCATCTGCAGAAACCACACCGCCATTCCCCTCCCCAAAACACCCCTTCCAAAACAGCCGTGGATTGCCAAGGAAAGCGGTGAGGCGCGCGAAGCAGGGAAGGCTCCTTTCGAGTAGACTTGGGGAAAGGGCTTCCTTCATTCGCCCTCTGCACATCCCGCGCTGTACCTCTCTCTCGTTTTGTTTTACTTCCTCGAGCCTGTCAAAACTCGGCCGTGTTTGCCTGTTTCTGGAGTTTGTTGTGTCTGGAGGCAAATGACCCGCCCCTGGGAATGTCATCCCTCCGGCGAACATCTCGCACGACCTGCTCGGGGATTATGATGAGGAACCCTCGCTACAGCAGCAGTTCCAAGCAGAAACCATCTAACGAATCCCCACGTCCCCATGCGTCGTCGGGGTTAGGGGGACGCGGGGGAGGGGGATTGACGACAGCCCGGCTCCCGCTTCCCTCCGCTGGCCTCTGCGCACAGACAAAGGCAAGGCGGGCATGCCCACCCATTCACCGGACGCTCACAGCAATGGCTGGATTCCTCTGGAGTAAATAGGGGGACGTGTGTTCGGGTGCTGCTCCGCTCCGCTTTGGAGCATTAAAGAGACGCGTCTAGATATTACATAGGCCTCTTTGGAGCGGGTTATCTGCGCAGTGCCGGGTCTCAGCCCTTAACAAGCAAGTCCTCGGTTTTCCACGGGGCCTGCCTTCCAGCTGAGTTTTCCACTCAGGGGCGGAGCGGGACTGGCCTTTTCGAAGGACGCCGATCCGTCCTTCTCCCATCGCCTAGGTCGATCTCATACCTCCCCAAATCCATCCGTCTCAGCCGTCCGTCTTGGGGGCCTTCGGGCTCCTTTCTAATCACCTATTAGTTTCAGTTTAGGGCTGGGGGCGAGCGGGCAGGGATCACATATCACCCTTTAATTGATACGGCAAGTCTCCCCTATGCAGCTGACCCAGAGCTCTTTTCCAGCCAAGGCAGAGAGGTAATCTTAGAGGGTAACCAGGGTCTCCGCGGTCTCTCTACGAGAGAGATAGAGAGAGATCGCCAGGCGAAAACCAATAGGAAATTGTCACTTGTTCGCCAGTGTGTTTATCGCATTATAGCTTTTCTCTTCGACAACAGGGGAAGGGACGCTGAGGAGAAGATTGCTGCGTAAGATTGGTGCCTCGGGCTGCGCTCGGGGCTGACACGGCCAGCTTCTGTCCTCCCTGTCCACTACCTTTTCCGTCACCGGTTAGAGACGCAGGCCTGGCCCAAAGAGCCGCTCGCGGTTTCTGGAGCGCTCCAAACAAGTAACTGAAGGGAGGAAGAGGCTTCACACCCGGAGAGCAACCTGAGCAGCGAGGCTGGGAGGAACTGGCTGAGATGTCTGGAATGCCAGCCGCGTTGAGACTGGGCTGTGGGTGCGGGATATGCGAGGGGAAACGCCGGGCAGTTGCAGGCGCCCGCTTACTGAACCTTGATCCTTGCAACGCGCCACTCTCCACCCTCTCCACCCTGTTGCGCACAAGCAGAGCAGGAAAACACCAGGGGCCCAAACTGCGACTCATTCTGGGTTTCAGACACCCTCTTGTCCCCACTCCTGGTGCCAGAGACTGGTCACCGCCACCAGCTCCCCCGCACGTCCCCTCGGGCCCACTTCCCCTTGGAAGTGTGCGACTCAGAGAGATCGAGTCCACGGCTTCTTTTCCCACTTCGAGGCCCGGTGTGATCTTTTTCTTAGGGGAAGAAGGACAGGTAGGCTTGATGGTCAGATACATAGAGAGGGCAAAGACATATCGCAGCCGCGCCAGGAGCCCATTTTAGGAAACAAAACGCAGCTCCGTCCTGCTTTCCTGCATTTTTCCGCCAACCTGCACACGGCAGAGCTGACGGGATGAGCTGGAAGACGCGGGCTGCATGGTCTCTTCTGGTGGGACTTGCCGGTTATTATATAGCCAGCGCCTGAAACAAATTCTGCAGTGAAGATGCGAGATGTGCGCATTCCTTGTCGGAAGGAGGATCCCACTGGGCCTTGACAAGGAATGCGAGCTGGCCAAGTAGACCTCCCTCCTCTTCCACCCCCCACAGCAATAAAGCAGTCACCTGCCACGATGAATGTCAACATGCCAGGGGAGTGATATTGCAGATGGGATGCCAGGACTGGAGTTGTCCGGCGCGGCGGCGGGTGGGGAGAAGACGGCTGCATGCAACTCCACCCCCCCCCCCCAAATAATAATGAATCCAGAAGGCCCAGCCCCTGTCCACTTCACCCACTTTTCCCCAGAACTTGGGATGTAAGTCATGCGAGAAAAAAAGGGGGAGGTCTCCAGCTCCCCATCTTCTCATAATCATCAGGTAGTTTACTTTTCATTAACCCACACGACCCAACTTGCGTTCATCTCACTCAGTCAAGACTTGGGAGGTAAGTCTTACAAGGGAAAATAAAACTACATGGTAATTATGATATACCAGGGCTGCTTCTTTAAATTACTTGAACACACCCAAACACCACAAAGGAACCGCCATGCTAGGGGACCCCCCTCGAAGGCGCAAAGATCAGGAGCCAGAGTTTCCATAGATGCTTACTGAGAGTCGTAATAGGCGCAAAAAAAGGTGTAAGCAAAGATAAGGAGCGCAATGCGAAAAACGTTACGCGCGACACCAAATGCAATTACGCATGATTTCAGTGGTACTCAGTTGCAAGTTTATTTTGCAAGATTTCAGTCTCGTGTCGTTGAACAGTCAAAATGTAGGCTCTATAGTGGCAGTAAAAACAAAACAAAACAAAACAAAACAGGAATGCCTCTTCTCAGTACCGTCGCTGGGGAACCTCCTTACACCGGGTCCCCCTCCTTTCGCCAGGCTTGTCCACGCCTTGCCTTGCCCTCGCAACACTTCCTAACCCTTTCCGCTCAGCGGCGTTAAGGCGCCACACACCCCAAACTTAAACCTTGGGGACAGCAGTTCTGTAAGGGTAGTCTGTGTCTCTTGAATAGAAATTACGCTATCTCCGTAAACCTACAATAAAGGCTCAGGGTACCTTAATGTGAGTCCAAACAGCGGACGTACTTTACAAGTGATTTAAATTTGTGGCGTGCATTTCTGTGGAGATGGCGCAGGAGGACCTTCCGGTGGCTGGCGCTGGGAAGCCACCACTTTCCTTGAACTGACATACCAGTTTTGCCACGGATTTGGGTGCAGCCGGAAAAACAAAGAAAACAAGCATCCCTGCACATTCCCTAATAATGGGACCAAGTCAGTTAAAATCCCCCACTCCCTTTAAATTTAAAAATAAAACATCGGAAGCCTGTGTTTTAGCTTCTTGTAGCGCAGGGCTGTACCTAACCACGATTTCTCAGCACCCCGGTCTCCTCCGGCGCGATAGAGGCCGGCGCCGGGGAGGTGTGGAAGTGTGACCTGTCCTTAAACACAGCCTGACCCTAAACACGTCGCCGTTTTCGATGGCGGTGCAGACTTCCCGAGGGCGCCTGAGGTTTCTCCCGGGACACGCTAGCCCTCGAGAGCCCCGTCTGCGTGTCGGTCTTTCGGTCAAAATCAGCCCGGGTGCGTGGTTTGAGCGCACTGGAAAAGAAAAAGCAGCGGAGAAGCGCTCTTAGCGCAAAGGCGAACAACACAAGAGAGTCACAGTCAGTGATTTCCAGGGGCTCCGCAGGCCTCGGGTCTAGCTGATCATGTTGGGAAGCTGCAGTTTTATTGGGGAGAGCTAAGTGGCAGCTCAGCTCAGCTCGCCAGCAACTGTCTGAAATCGCCCACATAACTGGCAGTGCCCAGAGCATGGCGAGGGCAGGAGTGAAAGGAAGCCGTCTAGTCCGGACACAGGTCGGGGAGGGAGCGCAGCAGAAAGGAAAGTCACCCCTTTCCCCAGGATGAAGATAAGCGGCCCTGGGAGAACCGAGCGGGCCTCGGCCGGCTGGCAACGCACCCCGTTGGATCCGCGCTCCCGCAGCCACTTGCCCTTCCGTGCAAGGCCTGAAGCAAAGCGCAGAAGCCAAGCGGCGGGCTGGCTGGCTCGCTCCCGAAGGTGGGAACCCTCTCCTCGGCTTGGCAAGCCCAGAGGCGGCTGGCCTCTCCTCGGCCCAGCCAAACAAGAGCCCCTCTTGTTCTCCGAGCGCCCCCCTCCTTCCTTGCACCTGCGTGGAGCTGCGAGTAGCGCCAGGCAGCGGCGGCTAAGCTCAGCCTCTCCGCTGCTGCTGCTGCTGCTGCTGCTGCTGCGAAGGCAGCCTCGAGGAAGCATCTGGTCCCAATTGGGAGCCCCCCTCCCTTCCCCGGCCCGCCAGCTCCTGTTGCCCCTCTGAGCATCAGCCAGGCCGGCCCCAAGCCCTGGCTAACCCCGAAACCACCTCCTCTCGCGGCGCGCACACTTTCCATCGCACCGCCCGCCTCCCTCGCAGGCAGCCACACAAAGAGTGCTCTCTCTCTCTCTCTCTCTCTCCTGCAGGCTGGGCAAAGCTCCCTTCGCCGCCTCCCCCACCCGCCCTACACACCTCCTGAAAGCAGAGGGCTGCCTCTCTCTCTCTCTCTCTCTCTCTCTCTCTCTCTCTCTCTCTCTCTCTCTCTCTCTCTCATTGCCCTCTCCTCCTCCTGGATTCTTCATCGGTTCTACTCCCGGCTTGGAAATGCATGCGCCCTGCTTCTAACCTACCCGGCTCTCTCTCTTGCCCTTCTAAAACCAACGCGGGAGACTGGGCTGGGCTGAAAGTGGTTCGAATCCAAGAAGGGAGTTTTACCCGAGACCGGACGGCAGTCAGCAGTCAAACTCCCTCAATCCGCACTTCATGACTTCAAGGCAATTTCCGTGTTAAGAAACGCGGGCCCGCAACTTTTGTGACGCGACCGTGTTTTGACTGAAATGCAGGGTCGCGAGGAAAAGTTGGCAATGCCCCACCCTTTCGTTTCAAGGCAAAGAGTTAAAAGAAGCGCAGAGGGTTGATTGTCAGGCGGGAGAGCCAAGGGGAAGGCAAATGTATGGGACCCGCGACCTCTGCTTAACCTTGGTACATTGGCACCAAATGTTTCAACAATATTTACTTGCCTTGAAGTCTGGATTTCCCTCCTCTCCTTTTAATCTTTTTTAAGGCCATCTTTGTGGCAGCTTCAGGCTCCTATATGTCTAATTATAGTAAGCAGAAACAGGATGGGATGTGAATAGCTCTGTTGTGTGCAGGAATTGGGTGCTGCACAGAGAGGCTTTTTGTCACAGGTTCTCACCCTGCAAACATGTGCATACACAATGCTAAGGTGGGGAGCTGAAGAATCAGAAACATAGCAAGCCCCCTGGTCTACCATGGAGAGACATCTAAAGTCAGTAAGGATTAGGGTGATGGAACTGTGCACTGCAAGCCCGAGTTACCCATACTGTAAAGGGTACTGGCAGTGGAAAGGGCAAGTAGCTAAGGGCTAGCGGGAGGGAAGCACAATCCCTTTGCCGCCTGAACAAATAACATTAAGGACACTATAAAAAAACCCCCATCTTCTTATATGTAAGACCCATTCAATACAAATAAACTTTTTACATTACATTTCACACATGAAAAGCACATCTGTGTAGGAAATAGTATGCAACCCACATGTAGATGATTTAAGATTTTTTTAAAAAAAAAAACATTTCCAAACCTCTGATTGCCTGATAGGTTAAATATCAAACAGGAGGTATAATGCGATGTTCAGAACTCAACATGATTCCATTGGATAATATAGCTATGATTTTACATAAATCTAATTAGGTCAGTAGGATGGATCCACCATACACTGGGTTTTCCAAACATTTATTTCAGAGTAAAAGAAAAAAAGGAAGTACCCTAACTTTGGAAGGGAAGCATAACTCTATAACTCACACTCGTTTTCCCTCCCCCTCCCACTTGCAGTGGAGAAAGAATTAAAAAATGCACTGTACAGTCTAATTTATGGAAAGGATTTTTTTTTAATATCAAAAGAAAATGAATTGGAGTGGTAAGCCTTCCCTCTTCAAGGAATGTAAAGTCATGATGCATGGTTGAGATTTGAAAAGGGGGAAAAATGATCCATTGCACAAGCAAGAGGAAAATAAAATGGCAGCAAATCTTCAACACCCAGTGGAGTGATTGTCGTTCCCCATCCCCAGCAATGGCACTTGCAGAAGTCATAATTAGGCCGGCCGTCTCCCTGGAGACTCAGTCATGTCAGCAGGTATGGAAGGAGGAACAGATTCATGCATTGGGGTTGTTCCTCATGAGTTCCACATCTGCTTCCACCATCTCTTTCACCAGCTCCTGCCAATAGGAAGGGACACACACACAGACACACACACACACGAAACAAAGAAACAAAGAAACAAACAAACAGATGTGTCTGGCTCTGCTTAGAGTGATAGCTGTATTCCCACAACATTACTTCCCTCTAGTATCTATTTCCCCCTGAATTAGCCCACCAACCAGAATAAACCTTTTGAGATGCATTCAAACCATCTATTTATTGTGTCCTTGAGAGCTGGTCCTACTATTAGGCAGGCAATGGATAACTAATGGTCAGGATATTCCTGAAGGACAGCAAATGGTTCATCATCATTACTATGATGCCAACAGGAGACCAGTTGGATGGTTCTGGCTCAGGCACTAAAATGGCTTGGGCTGCTTTGAATGAACGTTTTTCGTTTGTTGCACTCAGTCTTCCCCTTTCCAATCAAAAATAGGTTGCTATATTTCAAACGGTGAAAATCCAGACAGAAAAGTTGCACTGCTGACATGGGCTGCCACATGTCTGGATTTTCCCGTACATGTGTATGATTTCTGCCAACTGGATATGTCCAGGAAAATCCAGATGTATGGCAACCCTAGTCAGAATGGGATTTCTCATGTTGAGAATATTGCTCTGTCTCAGCATTCATCCAACAAAATGTTAGGAAAATGCAATCCCCCACAGTCAGCATGCACCTCATCAACTTTCCCAAGGACACGTGACCCTTGATAGAAAAAGCTCTCACCTCTTCCTTTAAATGATATAAAATGTTATTTTATTTCTACTAATAATGAGTTTATAAATTTTTCTAAGCACAGATTTCCTCCCAACCCCCCCAAAAAACAGACCATCAAATAAAATGCATGGAGATAAAAACCCCAAACAGAACTTACATCAAATGTGACTCTGGGTTTCCAGTTGAGTTTTTGCTTTGCTTTGGTGCAATCGCCTTGAAGAAAATCCTGTGGGGAATAAAAAGATGGGTGGGTGATTCCCTTTCCAGGCTGCAGGGGAGGTAGACAGGCAAAGTGATGGTTACGAAAGTGTTGATAGACATCACCTTGCCCCAATTTCATTACAGACTCTTCCATCCACACAGAGCTTCTAGAAAGTGCCAGTGCTTCGCAGAAATTCAAACCACCTTCCTTCTCTTTTTGCAACTCCGAGTCAAAGTGCTGTGGCTTATAAATCACCAGGAGGCAGCATTCAAGAATAGCTGTGCAGGCCATTTACAATGTATGCTGCACATCAAAAATATTGACTCTTTAATGGATAACATCTTGTTTTAAGCTGTCATACCTCCTAAGACTTGCTACTGGCAGAGCTGTTTCAAATTAATGTATCCCACCTTGCACCCCCCCTCCAATTTTGGTTAAATTATAGAAGTAAATCAAACAGAAAACCTGACACTATAATGTTCTCTTTCAGATACAATCCATATGATCACTAAAAGGTAGTGCTGAAAAACTTCACAGTTAAGAGCGATATAACAAATGAACCAGCTGATTTTCTCATTTCGAACTACTAGCTGCTGCAGGTTTTTGGATTTAGCAGTCTTTAAATGATCACGAAGGTCTTTCTAAAAGTGATCCTAAGGACAATAAGGATCATTAGGTGTCGCTTGTATATACGGTTAACTGAAGACAGAACAAAGAAGGAGGAAAATGATTTTATTGTAAAGTGCTCTGATGAACAGGGTGCTTTAATTCAGCTTGTAGTTTTAAAAAATTAAAAATATATTCTTAACATCGCTTGTAAAAAAACAAAAACGCTCATTTGCACCAGTTCTACTAAGACTGTGTTCACCAGGATTGGGAGCCTATCGCTCTTCAGATGTCAATTTCCACCATCCCTGACTATTAAGCCATGCTGACTAGGGCTGATAAGAATTGGATTCTAATGGCATGTGGAGGAACACACACACACACACACACACACACACACACACACACACCAACAGTCTTTTTCATTACTTCCACAACAGACACATTTTGGTATAGGAGCAAGGTGCTTCCTTTCAGCTTAGCACTCACAGCTGCAGCTGGTCTTAAGATACTTCTGAAAGTGATGCCCAGAACACCTTTTGACCAGGATCACATCACTTTCATATTTTGTTAATGCAAGCTGAGAGTGGAGAAAAGCTGTTGTAAAATCATGCACAGATTCTACGAAATGTAGCCTATTTGGTAATTTAACGATCTAGGAACAGCAAAATCCAACTTCAGTCTGCAATCCTAAACACACTTTGGGTATGGCCAGTAATAAGATTTACTTCTGAGGAAATATGCACAGGATTGCAACGTAAGTTAAAACAACAACAACGCCCCAGAGAAAATAGTAGACTCTTTTTTTGTGCCATGGTTATTTATAAGTCATTCAGTACCATCTAGTAGTAAAAATAATTTCACACAGACAAATGACAGTGGCTGCAACTCCATGATTTGCTGAATAAATGTATGAAGGATTGTGCCTGAAACCTTGGTGGCTAACAGTCTCTATTTCTGCGAGTGGTTCATGCTATGAAAAAAGTGTGATTACAATTACTTAGAAAACAACAATAGAAAAGGCTTGCGGCGGGGGGGCGGGAATCACTGCTCAGCTACCTTATTTAAAGTGTTAAGTGAACTGAGATATGCACCTATTTAACTTCCAGATTTAGTCTGAACTGGAGCCTAGATGCCAGTCCAGGGGCAGACTGAAGCTCTGTGCTAGGACTTTGCTTTCTTAAAGAACATCAAAGATCAGAAAGTTTATGAAAGGTGAGGATGAGGTCCCTCTTCCCTGCCAAAACAAGGTTATGAAAAGTCCGCTGACCAAGTCAAATGCAGTCCTGCCACTCTTCCGTTTCTGCTGTAGTACAACATAACAATGAATCTGGGTTCAAAGCACAGTCTAGTTTACTGTCTATTTTTTCTACAATGGATTTCCCCCCTTCTTTTTGGTGCCACTGGTCTCTAAAAATACATAAAATCGGGAGGGGAAGAGCACTGAGCCCCACAAATGACTTTCTGGAGAATGTATTAAGATACACAAACAGACATTTTAAAAACAAAATCACAAAAGCAGCCTTCTTGCTTTCAGTAATTTGTTAGTACTTTATTTTTCACAGAACAAGGGATGCTGCACACACACTTTAAAGCAAGATACACTAAATCTTTATGTTCTGTGAAAAGGAAAACAAAGCTTAAAATTGCAAATTTAAAATGTGAGTTACAACCTGTTTTTGGCTATGAAAAAGCAAAGACTTGGCGAAGCAACAGAAAGCCAGCAGCCAAACTGGTGCTGTTTAATACTACTGTACAAATCTCCCACAGATTTAAATTCACTTAGCTGTGATACGATCTCTGTAGGATAGCGAAATGCATGAGTTTATCTAGTAATTTTTTTTTTTTAAAAAAAACCTCCTCCCTTTTCGTAATTGCAGGTTTAAGTGTCAAATGCTGCACAATTATGTTTATTAAACTTGATCTCATGGCAGTTCAGTTTTATAGTCTTGGAAAAGACACATACTTTTGCATCAAAGAGCTGGTTGTGGAGTGTGGTCTGGAATTTTTTAAAAATAAAGCAATGAAAGCCAGAGGAAAAAATGCAAACCATTTCTATGTCAATATCCCATTTCCTGAGTTCTGGTTCTGGGTGTCATCATAGCTTTTATTTTAGCTCATTAGGTGAATGATCTGGTTTCACAGTGCAATTTATTACTGTCTAATTCAATTTTCTTTAGCAAAGCATTCAATAGCTTCACAGTACAAGTCTGGGTGAGGGATGGCTAGCACAGCTCCTAATTGTTTTGTTTGTTTGTTTGTTTGTTTTAAACTTGCAACTTAATTCTGAAACTTCCTTTAGTGGCTGGAAAGTTCAAAGTAGGATACATGTAAGGAGGTAGAGGAGCACAATGTCACAACAGGGTGTTAACATTGTGTCACATCAATGTTCTACTGAGCAGCACAGGCAAACATACCAGGCTGTTCTATTCAAGTCAGTATAAGGATCTATCAAAAGAAGGGACTGTTTTGGAGGGGAGGCTGAGAGTACTATATTTATTCAGAATTATATCCCACCATATATGGAGGGTTCAGTGTAGCTAACAGCAGTTTTTAATTAAATATGTGTGTCTCTTTGCCTCAAAGGAGTCACAAATTAAGCCAAACAGATTTGAGAGTGTTACAGAAATCACTGATAATGCTCACTGAAAAAGAATGTCCTTTTTTTTTTTACTGTTCTATGTTATCATGACAGCTATGCCATTATCTTAGGTTATGAAATCAAACAGTCTTAGCTCCCAAATTTGCACAAAATATTTTTCAAACAGGTATAATAAAAATCTGTGTTGCACAGCTGGATTATGTTATATGGCATACATATGATGCAAATGTTATAAAAGATTCGTGAAATTTGTTTTTAGCAGTTTTGAATATATTCATTTCCGTCTTATATACTTGTGTGAGCTGAATAAGCAGTTTTGAGTATAACACAACTTGAAAGCTAGAACTGTATAATTTCAGTCTGGTGTTAATATACATTTGCCCTGCCTTGATTACTTTGAATTGGTCTTTTACTGTGGTTTGGCCTAAAAGCATCACCTGATGGGAGCCAGGGGCTTGACAAAATAATGTTAATGTTTCTTAATGATTGTAGATGTTTTACCCATGGCCTGAAACCTAGCTTTTGGAAGATGACTACTCATAGCAAAGAGGGAGCAGAGATACTGTGAAAAACAGTTTCTGTAGTTTGAAATTAGACACAGAGAGCTGAAATCTTCTAGTTGCAGTTAGCTGAAAATGAGGTGCAGCCTGGGGGGCAGGGGCAGGAAGGCTACATGTTCTTTAGGGATCAGAAATTCAAAGGGCTATCCATTTGCTTCCAGTAAGAGCTCTACTCTTGTATTTGCAAATAAAGCAAACATTACGAAGACACTGTAAGTTGCTGTCATGATATGCTCTCATTGAAAGGTAACCAATTGCCCCAGAACTTTTAATCGCTTTGGAACATGTTATAAATACAGTGCATACAGTGGTACCTAGGATTAAGTACTTAATTCATTCTGGAGATCCGTACTTAACCTGAAACTGTTCTTAACCTGAAGCACCACTTTAGCTAATGGGGCCTCCCGCTGCTGCCGCGCCGCCAGAGCACAATTTCTGTTCTCATCCTGAAGCAAAGTTCTTAACCTGAGGTACTATTTCTGGGTTAGCAGAGTCTGTAACCTGAAGCGTATGTAACCTGAGGTGCCACTGTATTTATAAAAGGACCACTGTAACTCTATAGAGTAACAGACAATTAAAGCAAGAGTGCAGGCCAATTACATTTTAGCAAACAAGACCACAATCAAATTGGTAATGGATGTTAAACATCTTTAGGAATTTCAGGGCGGCATCTATGAATGGCATTCACTTTTCATTTTTCCCTTCACTATTTTTAGAAAACTAAAGTTGTGGAACAAGCATGATACCAGGGGAATAGAAGAATGCCAGTGAAATTGGTTCTTCATCTAAATTTGTTTTAATGTAGTGCGAGTTGGCTAACCTCCATTCTTGTGCCAATAGGGTTTTTTTGAAAGACAGAATTTTCACGAAGAGCCAAAAAGACTGGAAAATGCAAGCAGTTCAGATATAAAGTGGTTTCGCTTGCAATTAAAGGCTAGACCACTTCCTAATGCGAACAAAGAAGCATTTCACTTGCTAAAAACATACATGCAAAGTAGCTTATTTGAGGAAGGGGAAAATGGTCGAATAGAATTAAGATGCTTTCCATTAAGGGCTGGTTCTGAAAGGTGCTGAGCTCTAAAGTCCTCCATTTGTTTCATGATTTTGTTGGCACTCAGCACATCTTAGGATAAGGTCCCATTAAAAAGTTTCCATGATACTGTTAGGTCAATAACCAATCAGGAAATCTAAGCCCAACCTCTTCATTCATCATTCACCAAAAACCTGCCTGTTAATCTTTGGTCTAACGTTTCCAAAAGGCCAAAGCGCATGGATCCCAAGAAGTAATAAACAAAAGGCCGACAATAACGATAAGGAATAGCCGTCACTCCTCGTTTCTCACCACACTGCAGTATATCAGTACAAATTGAAGCTGAATCCAGACTTCTCCTTCAGTGACAGGGAATGATAAGAGACAAGGAGAAAACAGCAAACTGTCTGGTTTGTTCAGGAAGTTGGGAACTGGTGGCAATGTCCATCAAGCGGACCAAGGGAATGCCGTCAGCATTAAAACAATGCTTCAGCTCAACGTCAGGGAAAGGGCATCAGTCAGCAGAGTTTGACAAGCACATTGACAATGGAGACAATGGAGCAAAACAGAGGGGGTTGGCCCTGTGCGATGTGCGATTTGGTGCTTAATTGCTTTGATGGAAACAGTTGCATAGTTTAATCAGCACAAGGATAAAATGCCTACCTATCTCTTCAGAGAGCAGGTTGCAGTCCTTACTTTTGTGCTTATGCCAACCAAATCACATGGCTGGCAATGTAAATCAAAGCAAAATTATTTGACTGGTTCACTTGCTAAAAATGGTTCTTTAAGCAGATAAATGTTTCCCACCGGAGGGCTAATCCAAAGATCACTGAAGTCAGTGCTGATTTCAAGAGGCTTCAGATTAGCTCAGTAGATCCTCTCTTCATTAAGGGGAAAAGTGATACCCCCCGTTATGTTCCATGTCCAGAAAAGATGAGACAGATGTGGGTTTAACTCCTCCATTCCTCTCACTATGAAATCCTAAGGTGGTAAAGTCACCACAGGGTGCCTTTATTATGTCAGTATCCTGAGAGAATACTTTGCCTGTGTTGGTCAGCACATGACAGTGGGTACTCGCTACACCACAGTAAACCCCTGGAGATTATAGGTTGCTCTCTATTTATTTGATATATTTTTTTCAACTACAAAAAAGCAAACAATAAGCAACATATTCATTAACCAACATTACATTAAGCACTCATTTTAAAAACAACCACTTTACATATTCTTTTTTCAGATCAAATTCATTGATAACCACATAATAAACTTCATAATAAAGGGGAGGAGAGGAACAGACAGTTAGAGTTAGGAGTGTGTTTAGCAGGCTTTTACATATATCACTGTTAGACTCAACGTGTAACAACAACAACAACAACGATTTTATTTATATCCCACCCATCTGGGGTATACCAGAAATGGGAATAATTTTACCAGGAAATCATCCCTGACATGGTAAAATCAACTTGTAGTGAGTTTCTCACATCAAAAAGTAACATTTAAATCCAACCTAAGTACTCTTACCACCAGCTGTGGCAGTACTGACAAATACAAAAGTTCAGAATCATCAATTTTACATTCCAGCTTTTCATAAGACAATGAAATGTGTGCAACTCTATTTCTTAGTTTGATGGGGAAATTATGGGGAAATGTTTTCAATAAATTACATGGATCTCAAATTTTCTCTTTAAAATAAAATTGATATCTACATTACTGAAGTTATTGAAGTTATTAACCATATGTAGATTTTGGTTCACCTAGTTAGCCTAATAGTTAACCAAAATCTACATATGGTTAATAGAAGATATCACATTACATTTATTTATTTAGCAAATACTATTTCAGTACCTCAGCCCCTGAATGATGCTACTTTTGCCAGTCCTTCCACATGCTTGCCAGTCCTGCCCCCTTTGTCTATTGCCCCTTCCCCAATTTAGCCCACCCATCCTACAAAAACAGACATCCTTTACCCTTTTTAAACTGTGATGATGGTGGTGACCCCCTAGAATTGACTTGGAGGTGATCGAACAAGGAATTGTAACTTGGTGCACAATTCCATCCCTGGAGTAAGGCACAGAGCTCCTTCCTACTCACAGTACGCAAGAATCCTAAACGTCTTACCAACCTGCATTTGCTACCACAAAGTGCCTGCACTCTGCTTTAAGCAACTTGTGGTTCATATCTCTCGTACCTATGACAGTCTGATGGACAGGTTGTCCTGCCTCACTGTGGAGTGGCCTTTTACTCCCTTCCAGTTCTGTGATCCTGAGAATATACCACGTCCTTCCCCAGACGTTACCCTTAATCACTGATAAATGTCAGATTCTGTTGTTCCTTTCAATAGATGAAAAATGATGTCACTGAACTATTCCCACGGTACTCATAAAACTTTGTCTCAACCACATAAAATAGCCTGTCTTTGAAGGACACCAGTACTTTAAAACATGGAGAGAGAATCATGAGCCAGTGATTTATATGAATATATTGTATCAGTGTATATCTAGGGTGAGAAATATTTTCCCCAGACATTTCTGACGGATAGTTACAAGTTCTGCTCTCCCTACTCAAATCGCACACAGCCAACATGGTGGTCTAGAGATCTGGAAAGGAGTTAGTAAGTTTTGGATCTCACTTCCAAGGCATGGTCACACATCAATGACAATCTTGCTTCTTATTTATCAGTTATAAACAACACGGCTTTGTTGGCAGGTTTTATATTATTATTATTATTATTATTATTATTATACATATGTATCTTCCATAGCCACAAAATTTTCTATCAGAGCTTCTACTCTTGTTGCAAAGCGAATGATTCATGCAACGGTTAAAGTAAAAGAAGGTGGGATGCTTTTGCATTCAGAGCAGGTCTCCACAAACGTATCCCTCAGCATGCTCCACAGAAGAGGAAATCCAAGCAATGGCCTTTCACATGACATCATAAAAGCCTAATTTATCACCAGCCACCAAACATCTAGAAAATCATAACATCCTTTCAGGAAAGCCATGTGCAAAATAATCAGATCTACTTTGATGACAGCTTTAATGCATTGGTCCAAGTAGGACACTACAAAGAGTAACCCTTTGCAGGTACTTGTTTACAACACATCCAGCTGCATTCTTCACCTCAAGAGGAGCATTTCCTGATTTTCATTCCATACACATACTTTCCCAAATTAGTATTATTCAAGTGAGATTCTAGTCCAGCCCACATTCCATATTTAGAGTCGCTTTGTTAATTCACGTGCAGGACGAAGGATGGGGAAATTTTATAGTAAGTGAAGGATCACCCAGCGTCGAAGGAGTTCTGTAGTAGCGTACAGTGCCCAAATGGACAGGTTGTGAATCCACATAACCAAGGACAAAATGGAGTAACCCTCTTTCTTCTGCCATTGAACTCCAAGGCCATATGGCAGAACCCTCCTCATCAGAGGCTTTGTCTATTGAATATGAGAGAGAGAGATCTCTTATTCACTTAAAGCTGAAGCAGTTACCTTTTTCTTGAGGTGACTAATATTGTGAATTCTCTGAGACATAGCCTACTCACAGAGCTTGAGGTCAGGGGAGCACTGCAGACTGGCCCCCTATTCTGGGTGCAATGGAGACAATTTGCATCATTTCTAAACAAGAAGGAAGTCAAGCAAAAGGCTTTAAGGCATGGGCGTAGCCAGAATTTTTGTGGGGATGGGGCAGGCTTCTGTTAGGGGTGCAGGACCTCAGATTTGTATTGATTTAGGGGGGCAGCTGCCCCCCTTGGCTACGCCCATGCTCTGAGGGCATTAACTAAATGGGAACAGAGTTTGCTTTCCTATACAACAGATAATACGGGGCAGGTGCCTGAGTTTTACACAATCCTATTAGGCACTGGTTCTGACAGCTCGAACAAACTAAAAGCTATATGGGAGCAGGACCTTGGCAGTGACAATGAAGAGACACAATGGTCAAGTTTGTGGACAAAACACCCATTCAAAACTATTTCTGCCCAAACAGGGATCCCAAAATCTGTGCTTGGTATGACGATGGTATATATGACACCCATCATCCTCAAATTATCCCATATGCAAGACTCTTAATTCCAATTTGTGTTGCAATGTGCTCTAACTAGGCGCCTTTGAAGCCGACTCAGAAACTTCAGTTTGTCTAAAATGCAGCAGCCAGATTACTGGCTGAGGTTCTATTTGATTTCACAAAACTCCTGTTTTAAAACTAATGCATTGGTTGCCAATTCATTTCTTGGCCCAATTCAAGGTGCTCATGTTGTTATTTAAAGCCCTAAATAACTCATACCTGAAAGACTTCCTCCTTCCCAACAGAACCTTTCAAGTGCTGAGATTTATGTGATTTTATAAAAAAAAACTGTTTTGCTTTTATATTGACCGATTATGAACAGCATATAGAAGTGTCTTTAAGAGTGTTCAGCAAACTACCAATATAAGCTACATGAAGCCATTCAAAGCCAACCTATATACAAGGGTATTAACAAGGAGTTTATAATCTTAATCCAGCAATCAAAATCCAATACAATGAGCTAATGTGGTACAAATGGAGTCAATGGATGATGCAACCAAGAAGACACTCTAAGCCAACTTTTGAGGGGAGCCTCATAGGTGCGTGGATCCAAGCTATTTCAGTCTTTATTTATAGGAAAAATTCTGATTTTGAACTGCACTCTGCATTCTGCAAGAAAGCTGTCCTGCCGGTGGCACACTGGATATGGCCCAAGTGCTCCTGTGCTCTGAGATACCCATCAGATCTTAGTAACTTCTGCTTTTTAAAATCACCACTTTCTTTTTGTGGCTCGCTGCTCTTTCATTTGTCACTTCAGCCTTTCGGCTAACCTGCCCTTCTGAGGCTTATTGCCACAGGACACAGTGAAGACTAACGTTACAGTGTCGAGTGATCAGTTTGTTTCATGGGTTCAATCCACAGTGGGGTTGTAGTACTGTATTTAAAAGCCCTCTACCACATGAGGAGCAGGCTGCTTGATGAGATCTGCCCACACCATGGTGGGCCTTTATAAACATCGCAGCAGCGTTGTGGGTTGAACCCACAGAAAAGCAGCTGCCCGGCTTCTGCTCTTAACATCTGAAGGGCACGTATCTGGGTTCAAAGAGAGGTGGACAAATTCATGATGCACAGGAATATCAGTTAGCATTAGGAAGATTATCACGGCATGTGGAGTCATGTTCAGGGTGTTTCTAAACCACAGACTGCCAGAAGCTAAGGATGAGTGACAAGGATCTGATTGCTCTCATTATTGACGTACGCTGCTTAATTCTCGCTATGTTGTAGCTTTTATTGGATGCTACTGGAGACAGGATGAAGGTTTATGTGGACCATAGGTCAGATTCACAAAGGCTACTAATATTCTCTACTGCTCTTCTCAATAAAAGACTTGCTCTCTTTTTCAAGCGAAAGCCAATCTGTATTTTCTGTTCCTCAGTTCTACCCAGATATCTTGCAATACCCTGATGATCATCATTATCTTTCAGTCTAAGGGTTTTTGAGCTTTGGTTTCCCTTATTTTGAATCCAGATTTCCAGCCAGCCATATACCAACCACACACACTGTGCAATCTGTTCATTTTCTTTCCTTTACTATTCCAGCTGGCACGCTTATGGGGAACATCCAGGTCAAAGGATCGCTGCTGCCTTGTATCCTCCGTTTGTTCCAGAGACAAATAAAAGAAAGCAATGCATGCTGCACTGGAAGAAATGGATGATAGCAGCAGTGTTGCATAGATTGCTCTCCAAACACTTCTGCTTGTATTATTTACATGTGTGCGTGAATCTTCTGCCATACTGTTTACATTTCGTAGATGAGAAGGTACATCCAGAGCAGTGATGGGGAGCCTCTGACACATGAGTCCAATTAGGCCAGTTGGGTCTCGCCATGTGAGGCAGCTTCAGTCAAGTCATGCCCTGCTGCCATACACTTGATCCTCTTTTCATGCAAAGACACTGTGCCTTTGCACAGTGATTGCCATGATTATATGCTCATTGTTGGCACCTGCAAACTCCTGGTGCCTTTGCCCAGGCAGGTTGATTTCAAACCACGTGGGCAAAGGAAAACAGGTCACCTCATCAGGTGAATGACAGGTGGGCAACTCCAGCCACCTGTCAAAGTCGGCCCACAAGGGGCGGGGGGGTGTAAGGACTGTGGAACGCAACCAGTTCCTCACCCCTCTTCTACAGCTACTGAACTGATCTAATGAATACATTTCCCAGCAGTCTGGCTTCCATCATGTTAGGAGTGCCCTCACAGATACGGGTTACCAAAATGCCTATAAGCAACTTTCTTTTTTTCAGGGCATCATCACCAAATGAAAATTGTCTTAATGTCAGTCTGTCCTCTCTGTGAACCTCTTAGCTTAAAAACCGTCAAGTGAAAATGGCATTTTTGATCGACTACCAAAGAAATCTTGATTATTTCACCCTGCAGCAAACATGAAGGAACATTTCAGAAAAGGGAAAATACACACACACAAACCTTGTCATTTTCAAATGATCCTGCCCTAGTTACGAAGCTTCCTTTACATCCAGAAGGAATGGCAACACGGAAGCATACTCTATTTAGGTTTTCTTTAAGATGCTGGCCTGGGGGAGGGGAAAAATCCTTTCTGTTAAATGTTAGACATTGTCTATGCGCTTCATCTCAGGTGATAAGTTTACTTTTAGATGTTCACCCTTTTAAGTTATTTAAGTACTGGCTACCATATGGGTTTTAAAAACACAGTTTAGGAACCTTTTAGATGACATATGGATGCCTCTAAGTCTAGCTAGTGTCCTATGTATGCACCTATGTTTCAAAATAAGCAGATTTTCACCATGTTGTGAAAAGGCCTTGGTGTTTTGATAATACAATAGCTTTCAAATAATAATACTTGGTAAACAGTTCTGTTGCTGCTATGCATAATGAAGTTGAAACCACACAAAACAACTCAAATAATTGCGTATCACACACAATGGAAAAACCCCAAACCAATGTTTAATATGGGTCAGAGTACATTTAAGCATAAGGAAGGAAACCATCATTACATTCTGTGGTTTTGCTGCCAATTTTTAAGGTACAACATCAATTACAGACGGAGAACTAAACTGGTTTTTCTAAACATTTGTGGGATGCAAAGGAGGTCCTTGACAGATATTTAATATCACGATGTTATCCTCAGTAAACAGCAAAGAACAGAATGGCAAAGAGAGCTTGTTTTTCAGTAGGACCTACCTTTTGGAATTGCTTATTTTGGTAATTAAAGTCATATGTTTTTAGTAATGTGAAAAGGTTAAGATCTTTATTAGGAACATGAACCACCTTATGACAGTGTAACCCTGTATGCAATGGCTGATGCTTCCAAGAGTTGCTTATTTCTATTCCTCCTCCTCCTCCTCCTCCTCCTCAGTGCTTACTCAAAGCTCACACGGTTTGGGAAAATGTGAGCAGCACAATGTAAATATAGTGTACAGTTGAAAAGAAGAAGAAAGCATTTGGGACGTCCCACTTTCTCTAAGGGCTTCTATGCGTTGTTTAGAAAATTATTTCCTTTGCAATTTCTTTTAAAGCAAAGAGTAAGATGGAAAGCAAAAGGTAGGAGTAAAGTTGTAGGACTGATGAGAGAAGTGATACAAAAAGAGAAACACCAATTAAGTTGTTCCCTGAGCTACTTCATCATATAATTAACTGCTTGGGGCAAAAAGATGTGTTCCTCCATGCAGCCGTTTGATTGAAACTACCAACGCATGTTAAGTGAAGAATTTGGTATCTTCTTTGTGAGCAAATTAATACAGATTAGGCCTCTTCTTTCTTTTCCAGTTCACAGCAGGTCTGTGCTGACAGATCAGGAGTCAGAATATGTTCCACACCCGTGTCCATCAAACTGACAGTTTTTATTGCTAACACAGAGATCCCTGGTTCCCCATTCATTGGTGTATTTTTACACTGGATTTTGGCTGGAGTGTCAAAAAGGAATCTTTGACTCAGCTTTGTAATGTGAGTTGTGAAACATGGGAATGGCATTTCTCTATCTTAGCAAGAAGTCCAACGTTCCCTGAGTTTAGGGGCAAAAGAATCTATGAAGTCTACATTAACGTTCTTGTTAGTTCAGGTTGCCGCTTCCTGTAGTGTCAGGATTTTGCTCCCTGCACTCAGACTTCCCAGGCAATAAAGGAGATGATCAGGTCCAGCCAAAGATATTCTGCCGCCCGAGGCAAAGGTGTCCCCCAGCCCAAATTCCATGTGCAGAAACTGACTGGACTGGCAGTTCCGTCTGACTTTGAAACTGGCAACAAAACAGCATCCTCAGTTGACCTGAAGACAGTAGGGTGTATGTCAGGTTGTGTGGCACACATAGCTCTAATCTCTAACAGTGGGGAATGGCAAGGGTCTCAGGAACAATGGTCCATCCCCCTGCAAGTACGTGCTGTCAGAGGGGTTTGCCTCACTCTGCCTAATGATAGGACTGGCTCCGGAGATTAGGGTGTGCTGTTATACAGGTTATATTAATACAATCAGTGAATCAGCATCTAACATGGATTGGCTGGATTCAGAGGAGTGGTGGGAGGCAGCAACTGGGAGATTTTCAAGGGAAGAAGGCTCAGAGCCAGGGGGTTGGTGGTGGGATGACGATGAGATGTCAGAGGGAGTAGAGGAAGAAGATTGGGAGGAGTATGGGAATGTTTAGGGAGGCAGGAGAGGATATGTGTATGGGGCGGTGTGGGGTGGGGAGGGAAGACTTTTGCTGTAAATTAGAACAATCCATATGCACTCAAATAGCTGCAGTTTTCAGGAGTGTTAGATTCTGCACTTGGAATTCTCATTTAGCTAAAAGATGTGTAAAAACATATGCAGGCAGACGGTTCTTTGGCAGCACACCTGAAGAAAATCAAGCATGTAAATGATTGCTTATAAGTCCAATAGTAACTCACGTTCACTAAAGAAGTTCCAGAGCTCTCTTTGGAGTATGGTGGAAATAATTTATTTGTTTTGTGGAAAGTACGCTTTCACAGCTAAGCAACATAGCTTTAGGGAATAAATACCAATGACATAGTCACATAGGACCTATAATCCAATTTTTTTTTTAAATGGTAGCAGAACAATCCTGACATAAAACTAATGCCAAGAGGAGTGTATCATGCACTTCAAAATGTTTTCCTAATACATCAGATCTGAGAAGTGAAACTAAGAAGGGAACTGAAAACTTGAGTCATATTGTAAATCCATGGACTTTTCTATACCCCAGGAAGAAAGACACCATGAGCTTTGCAGATAGGACCATTAAGTCTTAATTTGTGAATCCTCTCCTGGTCAGCAATATGTATGCTTTTTCTGGTCATCAGTCCATTACAACAAATGCACAAACAGAGGAATAGCCACAAATGATTTTTTTTTCTTTACAAGGAGAATGTTAAGAGGCAAGATGTGTTTTCTGTATTCCCCAAACTTTCTAACCGGCACACCTACCTGAAAGTCGGTAATGAGTGTCAACCTTGCAAAGGAATAATTTCTAGAGAAAGAAGAGTCTAGGCCTGCAAGTCACTCCCTGACTACCCCTGTTCACCACAATAATGGAAGTAAGGGCTCGACATGAAGCCACCTAGTGGTGAGGGAAATATATGATACCCATACCCAGATGGGGTATAGTCTTCATAATTTCACACAATCCAGCAAAAAGCAAAGGGCAGAGGGAACATTTTTGAAGGTCTGCATCAACCTGACCGTTTCACTGAAATACGCTGGCTATTGCAAACGGTTGTGAATTTGTCCTTTAACACTGAGCATATGGCAGCAAAACTTCACATTAAAAATACTTACAGTGGTACCTCGGGTTAATTACTTAATTCATTCTGGAGGTCCGTTCTTAACCTGAAACTGTTCTTAACCTGAAGCACCACTTTAGCTAATGGGGCTCCTGCTGCCGCCGCACGATTTCTGTTCTTATCCTGAAGCAAAGTTCTTAACCCGAGGTACTATTTCTGGGTTAGTGGAGTCTGTAACCTGAAGCATCTGTAACCCGAGGTACCACTGTATTCTACTTAAATCTTTCTTTTACATGGGACTCACAATGGTCTGAGCAGTTCAGTTTCAGCAAGGGTTCAATAACAGATGATTCCCAGGTCTTGGACAACACCCATTTCCATAGTACTGGTGAGTAAAATCCATGACTAAAATATAGGTTGGTCGTACACACAGTGGATTGCTCTTGGTGTTTACTAGAAGTTCAAGAGGCACTCAGTGAGGTGCTGACATTTACGGAGGGAAGTTTTATGATGGGAAATCTATCCCTTACATGACAGCTACATTTCTCGCCCTGTAACATGATGATCCAACTGATAACAGCACTGTTTTAACATGCTGCAATAAAAACGTCTAATTTCTTTTTGTTTTATGACACTGGCTAATTCTGGAATGCTTTCAAGCATGATATTGATATTCACCTGGGATCCGCTTGCATTCAGAAACAGCTACTTCCAATTCAAATTATCAGACTAAATACGGGATCACAAACTGTACAGGATCACAAACTGTAAGGATTGCTACCAGGGCGATTAGCAAAACTAATCTACTGTAGAATAGAGAAAACCCAATGATAAATGAAAATAAAAAAATGAGAAGGCATCAATAATGCTAACATTAAAATCCAATATAAAGCAACCTAGACACAGTGAGGAAGCAATTTTCATTATCAACGCAATAAGGATACTATGGTTGCAATAGGAGAAATGATAAGACTTTTTCATTTTAAGTGCAGATCTCTTGTTCAAGCTGTATTCACATTGCACACATTCACATTCTCACTGGAGACTCCAGAATTTGTAAGGACCTTAGAATCAGAATCGGGACTGAGCTTCAAAGTGCACAGTCCCAAAATTCAGTGCTTCACAAAATTAGGTGCCATCCACATTTTGAGTTATTTGAGCCTAATAGTTTCTACCAGCTGATACACTATGACTACACATAGGCAATTACTAGAGAAATACGAATATTTACCATTTACCATTAACCTCACAGTTTATCTGCCTGAACAGTCTCACCAGCTCTTAACCCCAAACCTCACCCTAAGTGACACCAGAAAGGTGTTGTGCAACTGTAGCTTCCATTGTCCTGTTGCAGGGATTACAGGGGAACCCAAATTCTTCCCACACAAAGCACTTCTCTCTTTTTAGTCAGCTGGTGCATACCTTTATGGCCTCAGGCCAAACTCCCAGCGGGATTTTGCCAGCTATTCACATTTATCAGAAAGCTTTTACAAATATGGCCTCTATCCAGATTTTTTATGTTTCAGCTGCAATCTATGATCTCTTCTCCCAAGACATCCCTGTATACACAACGGAAAACATTTATGGCTCACTTTAATTACATTTCACTTTCCACTTTGGTGTAAAAATGGCGCCCCCTCCCCACCAGGGAAGAAAGGGTGACTGAAGATCTACATCAGGAACAAGGGGGAAGTAAATATCTGCATCGGGTGTGTGTGTGTGTTATTGGGTTGTTGTTTTTATTTTGATTATATATGTTGTGGTTTTTATGTTGATCTTTTCTGTGAACCGCCCTGAGACCTCTAGGTATAGGGCGGTATATAAATTCAACAATGATAATACAAATAATAATCTGCTGCCCCTGTGAATGCTGTCACCTGAGGTAGTCACCTCACTTTGCCTCATGGGTGGGCCAGTCCTGAACAAAGCAAACCAATAATTCCCCTTCCCTTCTCAACGCAGAGGCTAAATCAGGCATAGGCAAACTTGGCCCTCCAGATGTTTTGGGACTACAACTCCCATCACCCCCTAGCTAACAGGACCAGTGGTCAGGGATGATAGGAATTGTAGTCTCAAAACATCTGGAAGGCTGAGTTTGCCTATACCTGGGCTAAATGCTCACAGTTATACTCTTCCATCCCTGTAGTTGAAGAAACTACTGATATTTATTTATGCCAGGGATGACTATTTTTTTTTTTTAACCAGAAGGTCATATTCACTCTTGGCCAGCCTTCCAGGTGCCACATGTCAGTGTGTGGGTGTGGCCAAAATTGGGTGGCTATTTATACCCTTGCAACATATGCATGGACCCAAACACAGCTTCCTCTCCTCAGTTGATCCATGCAGATCAGAGGAAGGGTTATTTCGCTCAATCTGAGGACCCAGAAGGAGCTGCTGGGTGCTGGGATGGGCAGAGGTTAAAATTGATTTGCTCACGGCAGCACCATGTCTAATTTGGGGTTTTTTTTGGGGGGGGTGATCACTGCCAAACTTGATGGGGTCTTGAGGGAACAGAAAGAAATTGCTGTGTGTTTGGGGGGCTGGATAAGTCCCTTCGGCCAAGGTGAGTCACTCCTGATTTATATAATTCTCATAAAGCCATCAATAAAGAGGAACAATAAAACAGCAAATTAAAGTAGCATTTAAGCAATCAAAAGCCTTAAATGGTTCTGAAAGGATAAGAATGTAGGTGCCAGGCAAGCCTCCTCAGAGAGGGAATTCAAAAAGTTGAGCACTGTAGCCAGGAAGGCTCTCCCTTTATACAATGCAATACATGCATTATAAGTGAGACTGCTTCGAAAGACACAAATAAGTCTAGATTACTTACTAGGACAAACAGTATGGAATGCATGTCATCTGTATTAACAGCCCCCTACTGGTTTCTGTGGGTTAAACCACTGTGCTGCTTGGGCTTGCCAGCTGGAAGGTCGGTGGTTCAAATCCCCGCGACGGGGTGAGCTCCTGTTGCTCGGTCCCAGATCCTGCTAACCTAGCAGTTCGAAAGCACGTCAAAGTGCAAGTAGATAAATAGGTACCGCTCCGGTGGGAAGGTAAGTGAGATTTCCGTGCACTGCTCTGGTTTCGCCAGAAGGGGCTTAGTCATGCTGGCCACATGACCCGGAAAAAACTGTCTGTGGAAGTGGACAAATGCTGACTCCCTCGGCCTTTAAAGCGAAATAAGCGCCACAACCCCCAGAGTCGTTCACGACTGGACTTAATTGTCAAGGGTCCCTTTACCTTTACCTTACTGGTTTCTGGTAAATTACCAGAACATTCAATGAACAGCGATGCAGTTTTATTGCTAGGTTTGCAGTTTATATTTTGTTTTCTCTCGTCTTTGTATTTCTGTATTCTCTAACCTGATAATGGCATTTTCATACTGATTTGTTTTACGATTAGTAGTCACCTTGTGAGTTTCTCAAAACTGAAATGCTGGATATAACTACCTTAGGCACACATACACAAGCAAATGAAGGGCTAAATTGTCATTATTTGCAAGCACAGGAGCCAACACCCCCCCCCCATAAAATAGTTGGCGGGCATTGCCGTTCAAATGGTGCGTGTGACGTGTCATGTGATTGATTATGCAGGGCAGGGATGATCTGCCCCGGCCCCCAATATTTTATTCAAGTTGGCACCCCTGTGTGCAGGTTTACACCATCCTTTGAAATGTACTGCTCTTGGTGAAAATATCCACACTCAAGCTTTTTTAAAAAATGGAATACAGTGGTGCCTCGCAAGACGAAATTAATCCGTTCCGCGAGTGTCTTCGTCTAGCGGTTTTTTCGTCTTGCGAAGCAACCCTATTAGCGGCTTAACGGATTAGCGCTATTAGCGGTTTAGCGGCTATTAAAGGCTTATCGGCTTATCGGATTAGCTGCTAAAAGGCTATTAAAGGCTTAGCGGCTTAGATAAAGGGGGGGGAAGCGAAAAAAAATCTCAAGACTCGCAAGACATTTTCGTCTTGCGAAGCAAGCCCATAGGGAAATTCGTCCTGCAAAGCAACTCAAAAACGGAAAACCCTTTCATCTAGCGGGTTTTCCGTCTTGCGAGGCATTCGTCTTGCGGGGCACCACTGTATTTTCCCCCCTTTTAATATTAAAAAATTTAATCATCACTGGTCAAAGAATATGCATTTAATTTTGAAAAATGCAATCTCTTGCTTGGAAAAAGAGATAAAATAATTGTTTTAATTATTTTTGTGCAAGTTATGCTTTCGGTAACATTTGGGTCTAATGTGTTTTTTTACTGCTAGTGTGATTTTATTAGGCAAGGCAAGGTGATTAGCAGGTGGACATGACTACGTTCATTCAGGAAAATTGGGATACAGTGGTACCTCGGGTTACATACACTTCAGGTTACAGACGCTTCAGGTTACAGACTCCGCTAACCCAGATATAGTACCTCGGGTTAAGAACTTTGCTTCAGGATGAGAACAGAAATCGTGCAGCGGCGGCGTGGTGGCAGCAGGAGGCCCCATTAGCTAAAGTGGTGCTTCAGGTTTAGAACAGTTTCAGGTTAAGAACGGACCTCCGGAACGAATTAAGTACTTAACCCGAGGTACCACTGTGCAGGATATAAGTCAATTTCGAATTAAAATGCTTCAGAGTTGTTGTGCGTAGATGAATCTAAGCTTCAGAAGTCAGGAGGAAATCTTCCCCAGAGAAATAGACAAAGCATTATATACACCCTTAAGTATTTACGCAATGACAGTCACTGCATTGTTAGCCTACACTAAGATACTATTGCACATAGGATGTCCCAGATGGCCCAGAAGTGACCTTTCAGAGAGTGATCACACCCTAGGGTGTCTAAGTACTATTGCAACACACCAACGTGGACTGAAAATCCACAGGCAAGAAACAAAGGAGTTTAATTTTAATGAGAAAAGAAGTGGGCCGGGTTCACTGAAGCTGCAACAGAGAGGATTAGATTTAGCTTTCTCCTGCCAGTAGCACCATGTGAAGGATTCCATGCAAGTTAGGACAGAGTATTATTTCTTTTGCCTGACCTCAATGTACCTGGTAGGTGTGGAGAAGGGACAGGCGCTTTAATTCCCAACTGAGCTGCACAGGGAGGAGTATCTGTGAGAGAAGATCCTAGTTAAACCATGCACTGCTCAGTCTCCCAGGTTACACCTACTCGGTCAGTGGACCTTTTTAAAACACTGAGCCACAAACACACTTTACAAAGGTAAGAACAGAAACCAGCTTTTTCTGTGACAGTGGTTGTTCACTAGTATGCACCATTCTTTCTAGAAGCTGAGTGTGACATCTTGAATAGCTCATGTCAAATCATTCTAGATCAGTGTTTCCCATATGGCCCCCTGGGAGCCCCCAGGATATTCTAAGGGCCCCCCAAGTGAAAAATGTGTAAATGGGGAGCCACAGCAAGAGCCTTGGGAACCACAGAGGGAAGGGACAAGTGAATTTTTAAAAAATCCTGATTGGCTATCTGCTTGGCCAATCACAAGCGGGTAAGGGGGCGGTCCACCAGGGACTATCACTCCTTTTTGCCAGGTGCAATTTTATTGGAGCAGTCCTAGTTTGTTTCCAGCGGGAGAAGGCAATTGCTAAGGCTCCTTTTTGACCAGTAGGGCCCATGATCCAGAACCCCCAGGTCAGGTAAGTGCGGTGGTGGGGTGGCAATGGGTAGGGCTGGGAGAGCCAGAGCTGCTTATTGCTGCCACCAGTGCAGCAGATGTTTGAGTAAAGCAGGGATAGAATGACACTGAGATAAAAATGCCAAATTTAATCAGCATCAGAAGTTAGAGTAAATCAGGGATGGAGAATTACTGAGAGGGAAAGTCGCCATTTTAAACAATGGCAGAGATTTGAGTACAGCGAATTCAGTTTCTTGAGTACAGCAAGAAATGAGTTTGGAAAGGCTCTGTTGTGTTAGCTTTTTTGGTGCTAACATCTCTGCTGTACCCATCTCTGCTATTCTTCATTGTTAAAACTAGGTGGGTTTTGTTTAACCCTTCAGTGTTCCTCCATCCCTGCTTTACTCAAACCTCTGCTGTTTCCATCTGAAATTCCATTCTCAGTATCCTTCCATCCCTGTTTTACTCAAAACCCTGCAGTTATTTAAAACGGCCATTTCCCTCTAAGTGACCCTCCTTAAAGTTCTGCCATTGTTATGCCAGACACTCACTTCTTCTATTCTTATTATCAAACATAATTCAAATGGTCCATTTTAAAATCCTGTCTACCTTGGGCAAGCTGCTTGGCAAAACGTCATATATAGCAGCAAAAGCATGATTTCACCCAATGAGGATGGGAGGGATCTCCTTTTAAACCTATGTTGCACTGAAGTAACTAGAACGTAATTAATACAGCTGGCATAATTAACTGAAGCATACTGTTGGCACGACTGAATTTAGGCCTAGAGGAAAAGTGTGGTTTGTAATATGACATGCATGATGCAGAGATTATGTAGTTCCTATCTTGGATACTTAGCTTTAATGGATCGTAGCACGTCTGAACTAGAACTAGCAAAGGGCACACCTCAGTATTGACAATCACGGTGGTTATGATGTGCTCTATTAGCCGTTAATTGAATTCAGCCCTCAGGCTTCTAGCAAATGATAGCAGATTTCTTGCTTTCCCATTTCCCCCCATGATAAACATTTGGAACCCAGCAGCAACCCTAACAGAAGAAGAGACATTCCACAGCTTCACTGTAGAATTTTGATGTATTATTGTGTTTTAAAATATGGATTCAATAATTGTTTAGTTATACCAGCTCATGTTAACGTTTTTCAGATAGTATTGGAAATGTTTAGGTGTGGCCTTTCCATCAGCTGTCTCGCATGGAAAGTATAAAGGAGTGTAAAGAAGGAGCTCCCTTTCAATCATCCAATATTGTTCTCTACAACCCAAATAAAAGATTGCACACACTTGTCCAATAAGATAAAATACGCTCGCACTATCAGTTTAAAAACATTTCCCCACTCCTCCCCAGAAACAATGCAAACCATTTCTCATTCTACTTTATTATGGGGTTGGAATTAGAAAGAAAGAAGGTTATATTTATGTTTTATACCAAATGTTTAACTCTGAATATGCTCAAAGAGTTGTACAGGGGTTGTAGTTAATAATCTTGGCTCCTTTGGTTCAGCTAAAATGCAATCCGCACTATAATAAACACATTAAAAATTCATACTGAAGTAGTTCAAACTATACCCTTATTATAATTTACTTCCACGGTCTTCATCAGTATCATTTATATCTTACACATGTGGTGTATAAATATAACCTCTTGAGGCACATATATACATTTGGATTATCCTATGAGTATTAAAAAAGAAACACTCCAATGCAGAGTATGATTAATTGACTTAACAGTTGGTAGTTTAGCTTTTGTTAATATCCTCAAAGGCAGTTTATACTTTGAACAGTTCAATGTATATAATCACTATTATTTTAAAAGGGTCCAATCCCATCTTTGAAGGAAGAAATGTAAATGGCTAATGTAAGCATTAAAACTTGAATAACACTCCCAAGGAAAAGGGATAAATTGCGCCAACCTTTGACTGAAAACCCCCACATACATCATAAAACTTAAGTGGGAGAGTACGGGCTAATGATTAAAAGATGAAAAATTTGGGTGGCTTCAGACATGCATTTACCACCTCAGATGCTGGAAGTTTTGCTAAGTACATTGCTGAGCCATGCCAGGTTTTCAGTGCTGTCAGAAAGAGACGATTAGACATGAATTTGTGTGTGGTAGCAAGCACTGTATTTGCCAAAACTATCTTTTTGGAAGTGGTACATTCAAAGCTGGAGAGTTTGGGTTTCAGCTTCTCTTAATTTTGGGTAAATGGTTTATTTTATTTAAGGGATATATACTTATTGTTTCGGTTACTTTCTCCACAGCTGTGATAACCTTTGCTGACTCGCCCCCTTACCCCCGTCCCAGGAGAATATCTTACAGTAAGCCATGTGGGCCTCATATAAAGACAAATATGTTATGCACCTGCCCTTCAGAACTACTTTTTAAATTCACATGCAAATTTATTTAGATTTGCTTCATTAATAAATTAATCAACCAAGATTTTTAAACTTCTGGACACAGTCAGTCTTGGCGTCTAGGTGCAGTGATGGATGAGATGATGAAGAAAAAGAGGAATGAGAGGAGAAGTAACTTGGGAAATACAAATCGACAGCCATGGCAACATCGGAAGCTGCTTTTTACTGAGTCAAGCCATTGGTCCATCTAGTTCAGTTTTGTTTACACTGAGTGATAGAGGTTCTTCAGGCCTTCAGATGAGGATCTTTCCCAGATGCCAGGGATGGAACCTGTGACCTTCTGCATGCAAAGTAGTTGCTCGGCCACTAAACTAAGGTCTCTTGTCTTGTCTGATCATATATTGCTTTGATGAATTTAACACAGAATGAAATAGTACAGTGTTCTCCATCCTCGGGTCCCCAGATGTTGTTGGAAGACACCATCCCTGCAATTGGTCAAGCCGGCTGGGAATGAAGGGAACTCTAGGCCAACAACCTGGGTGGACTGAAGGTTGATGAACAATGATAATAGCAGAATTGGAAAAACAGTCACAAAATTAGACAAGATTACATCTAATTATTCCTTTAAAGAAGGACTAGTGTTCTAAATCTAAGAACTCTGATGGGGAATAGAATGGAGATTTATAATAGAAGGCATCATAAGTTGTAAAGAATATGTGCGCCCTTGGCATTTATGAGTTGTTGGTAAAAGTGAAGTCTGGATAAGTTTGTGAGAGATGGTTTCACTTATGTAATATTTTATTGTTTAATAGGCTGAGGGATTTGAAGCAGCGCTCTGTGGTACGGAGGCAAGCTGTGCATCATCTTGATCCTATTCCTGGCTATTTAATTCGCAGCGAACACAGCGCTTCAACCAGCACCTTCCTGAGCTGCGCTTGATGAATAAGTGCAAAGGAGACAAACGGAGAATGAAGACTTTGTTTTTGTTTTTCCCCTCCAAATCACAAAGGCTTAAAAAAGCAACTGCACACTTCCTACTCGACCTGAAGGCCTTTGCCCATGGGCAAGGCAAAGGAAAGCACTTTGTTTAAAAGGAGTGTTGGGGGAAGAGCTGGTCACAATACTGAGATCGATCAAAGTCTAGCATTTCTATCTTATCTATTTGGAATCGTATAATTTGAGAATTAAGATGCCCCTAAGCTTCGCTCCTCCCCACCATCAAATTACATTCAATCATGGCGTGCAGAAAAGCGGTCCATGAGTTAGCAGCCAGATGTTATCATTACAGGCCTTTGCTTATAAACCGATGCTGAAACCTGAGTGGTTGATGAGGCTAGCTAAGCAGTTGTACCTTTGACCTGATTGCATTAAACTTGCCCTATCAATTTAAGCTTAGTATAAACACCATTTCCCAGAGTCCCTCATGACTTCGGTGGTGAGAAGAAGCTGACTAAGCCTAAACATTTTTTAACAGCAATCTTGTCTTACAACACCAAGGGGATTTGCTATGTATCTGGGGCTTTATAAAACCATATGAACATGCTGAAAGAATTAAAGTCCTTTAAAAAAGAAAAATTGATGGTGACAGTCCTTTCTGAAAACCAGTATGTAGGATGTCAGCACAACTTGGAAACTAGCCTAATATAGTTTTAAAGAATAAGATGGATTTGTGTACATTTCAAACAGTTGCTCCTCAACCTTTTTTTTAAAAAATAAAAAAGAACAACCTTTTTCAAATCATTAGCATTTATTTTGAACTAAACTAGATCCCCTGCCCAACTCCCCGTCCTGGGAAGGAGATAGTGGTTGACATATCTTCCCAGTATTATATGATATTTTAGAGTCTCTTTACAGTCTAGAAGTAGTGCATATTTTTCCTGCCACATTATTATTATTTTTAAAATGCACATTACTCCCAAATAGCTATTTTCAAATGAACTGAAGTTGCAGAAAGATTTCTACAATTAATAACACATTTTTTTTGTATTGTATAAGGCTGATAATGTTTCAACACTTGACAAGACATATAAGATTAGCAACCTTCCCTCAAAGATGAAAGGCAGAGGGTTTAAAAGACAGCAAGTTACTAGGTGTTCTATGCCCTCTTGATCTGAGCATATAAGAAATTAAAGAAGATCGGTGGCTGGTGATCATGTTGCTAGAATTTTAGATGTGGTTTACGGAATAGCAATGCTTTAAAATCATGCCAATCTATTAGCAGTTTTGTTCAGTTCAAGGATAGTTCTAGAGTGCCTGCTCTACACGTTGATACAGAGAGAAAACTTTCAATTCTGCGCTACCTTAAAAAACTGATGGAGTATAAATAAATTATTATTATTATTATTATTATTATTATTATTCCCTATTGCTTATATTATGGAGATTAAATCCTTTGCATGGAAGCATATGCTGGAAAGCTTTCAATCTCTGACAAAATTAAACATTGTGCCACATATAGGCATATAAAACAACAAAAATCAATCTATTGACAATGAAAAGAGAAGGCTACTTTATTTGGAGTTAGATCACATATAGTTACTTTTTACAGACCAACAATATATAATATGATTAAAAAAACAAACATACAATCAAGATAGTACTGTAAGCGAAATCATAAGAAAATGCCATTGCAGTCTTGTGCCTAACTACAAAAATATTGGATGCACCATTTAGCATTCTTTGAGGATAAGCATTCTCAGGGTCCTGTGACTAACACCACTCCCAACACACACAATGAATATGTCGGCATGTGATGGCCCAAATTCAAATACAGCTGCTTGCATCAGTTCAGAAAGCACGCCCTGAAACCTGTTGGTTCAAACAGCCTCATTGGCTACAGTATATGAATCAGTACTAGGAAAAGGTCTCTTTATTTGAAAGCAGGGATAGGAGGGAAAAGACACTGCGACTTCCTGTGTTGTGCTGTCCATCTCTCAATTCACTATGCATAATGGTAGGGTGAGGAATACACCAAAGATAAACAGAGTATTTCATTTCACTATTCTTTCATATGTTCATTAAGTTGCCTAATCTTTTTAAAAAAGCCCTATCACATAAATGCATATTAAAGTCTGCTTCCTTCCATTTCTCACTACAGTCGTACCTTGGAAGTCGAATGGAATCCATTCTGGAAGTCCCTTTGACTTCCAAAACGTTTAAAAACCAAAGCGTGGAAACTCCTGCAGCCAATCGGAAGCAGCGGAAGCCTTGTCGGATGTTCGGGTTCCCAAGAACGTTTGCAAACCGGAACACCCACTTTTGGGCTTGTGGCATTCGGGAGCCAAAACGTCCAAGGTATGACTGTATTTGGAAAGGCATACAGATTCAATATCACAGTCTTAGAACTGCGCTGTAGAATTTTACATCTTGACTTGAATTATAGCAGATTGTGTGTGCGCATCTTTCTCTCCCTCCCCGCAAATTTCTTTTAAAAGAAAAATTGAAACAAGTAAGACCAAGAGTGCCTAGCTTTAGTTTTAACTGCAAACTATAGTTGGCCCTCAGTCAAATGGCGTAGGTGCTGTACACTAACTAGTTTCAGCAGACCATTCATGAAATGTTGTCCCCTCCAGTGATTTTTATGAACTGGCAGGGGCTTCAAAGAAGTTCTGCTCCTGCTCCTCCTTTGAAGCTTCCTTTTAGAACTGGCACACTTTGTTGATGCTGTAAGTCCGTTTCTCAATGCGTCTTGTGATGCTCTGCTGAGCCTACTGGTCTGGTAAATGAAATCATGCAACTGATACACCTTAGGTTTTGGATCCACATTTCCAGAATGCCTGTTATGCAAAAAGCAGCTCCAGCTCCACAACATAAAATGTGAAGGTTCTGTTGAATCATATCACTTGGAAGCAAGACAGTCTCAACAATAATGCCCAGCATCTGACATGTCAGAAAACTTTATTTGCTGGCTCAAGACATTAGTACAGTGGACACTTGGTTTGCGAACGTGATCCGTGCAGGATGCACGTTCGCAACCCACAGCTTTCGCAACCTGTGTCTGTGCACGTGTGGGTTGTGATTTGGCGCTTCTGCGCATGCGCAACTGCAGAAACCTGGAAGTAACCTGTTCCGGTACAGTCACACCTTGGGTTGAAGTAGCTTCGCGTTGAGCATATTCGGGTTGCGCTCCGCGGTGACCCAGAAGTAACGGAGTGAGTTACTTCCGGGTTTCGCCGCTTGCGCATGCACAGACACTCAAAATGACTTCATGCGCATGCACGGAAGCGGCGAATCGCGACCCACAGACACGGGTTGTGTTTGCTTCAGGATGCGAACGGGGCTCCGGAACAGATCCCGTTCGCATCCAGAGGTACCACTGTACTTCCGGGTTTTGGCAGTCCACAACCCGAAAAGATGCAACCTGAAGCGGCTGTAACCTGACGTATGACTGTACAGTACTAATATTGCTTTGAGATGGAGTGGAGAAGAATGGGAGAAAGGATAAATTGTTGCCTCCTACAGCTATGAGACTCCTTCCAAGGACATATCTAAGACTTTGTAACAAATGATTTCTGTAAAACTGGGTTGCATTTAACAAAAAGAAGTTAATTTGATTTGGAAGTCATATTAAAAATGTAATTGGCATATCTATAGGTGCTCTCCTAACCCATATATTTATTTTGGTAATAGTATGGAACCCTGAAGTAAAAAAAAACACAGTTTCTGCTATGCTGGCTATGGATGGAATCGGTAGTGCTAAAGTCTGCAGAGTATTACTGTACTCTTGGCAGATGCAAATAATTGAGGAACGCTATTGTAACTGCTCCGACTAAATATTTAAGCTTTTTATCTGAACTGCTCAATTACGACGGACACCCATCGAAGAAAAACATCGAAGAGCCCTTCCTTGTTCAGTGACAGCAAACGGGAGGGCCGAGGGAATTATATAATAGTGGTTATTTGTTTTCTTTGCAAATATTTCACCTTCAGGACTGTTAGTCAGCACACATTTACTGTTACAAGCAGGCCCAGGGGAGAGATCTGATGTCTTCTTGTCTTTGACTTTCTGTTTCTTTCTTTAATGCAAATATAGGGGTTTATAACTGAAGGGTGTCCATACTTTGAATGACTGCTTTTTTAAAAATTTAAACCCATACAATAGTTTTACTTATTGAAGCCAATTTCAATGGGACGCAAAGACCATCTCACTTCCTGTGCATGGTTCCCTCCAGTCTGAAGGAAGCTTTGAGAATGCAAGAATTGTCTTGCTAAACCAGGTCAAAGGTACACGGAGCCCTGCATTCTGCTTCCAACAGCTGGCAGCCAGATGCCTTGGTTGCAGTACAAGCGATACCCTCGCCCTCCTGTCTGTCACCAGCATCTGGTATTCAGAGATATACTGCCTCTGTACACCGAGGCTCCATCCGTTATTGCTAATAACCCTCAGTATGGTCACACTTCATGAATGTGTTTAATCCTTTGAAAAAGGAATTTTAAAAAAATTATACTCCTCTGATTTAAACACTTTTTCCAATTTAAAAAAAAATGCACTTAAAAATAAATGTTGATCGGCATAGATACAAAATAGACCACTTTCTATGTACAGTGGTACCTCGGGTTACATATGCTTCAGGTTACAGACTCCGCTAACCCAGAAATAGTGCTTCAGGCTAAGAACTTTGCTTCAGGATGAGAACAGAAATCATGCAGCAGCAGGATTAGCTAAACTGGTGCTTCAGGTTACGAACAGTTTCAGGTTAAGAACACACCTCTGGAACGAATTAAGTACTTAACCCGAGGTACCACTGTATTTGAGTACAAGAAATTCCAAATCAGTTGCAAAGAAAGTACTACAATCAATGGGTATGCAGATTTGCTTTTTAAATAGTTTTTGTAGGCATCGAAAAAGGGAAATGCCAATTGTATAAACGGGAACACATAAAAACTAATTCTCACAGAAAATCCATGCTTTATTTGTGAAAGTGAAATAATGTTTGTTTGTTTTTTTAAAATAATAATCAAGATGTTCTTTACAATATATATAAGTCAGAGTAACACATATCTATAGCTGTATGTTCCCCAGTAGGGAATTTAAGACGTGAGAAATTATCCTTTTACCCACACTTTCATTTCTCCTATTACATTTTCTTTTCTCTATTTTGCATTCCACATTTCAAAGGCAGATGTCATCTGACGGTCATACCATACCCTCAGGTGTTATTTAAACAATTCCTTTTCAAAAAAATGTATCTTCACACTGGCTACACACTGAGAATCTGCTTGGTTTGATTTCCATAAACAACTTCTGATTTAAGCCCCTACGCTTTTCATTTCCTGATCTTTCGCCAACTCTCCTAAGCTGAACGTTACTCCACGTTTGAGCATCTCGCTACAGCTGCAGGGCTTTTTGGAAATTCTAGATAAGGTAGTTTCTTTGCAATTCACAACAAACATAGAGAATGTAACACACTTTTAGTCCAACAGATCAGTGAGAAGAATATTCAACCTAATATAAATTTGCCTAGCCACATACTCAGAATGGCATCAGTACATTTGAGGCAATAATGCAAAAAGCTTTACTGTATCTCTTATTGAATGTTCTTAC